CCGGGACAAACTTGTGTCTGAAGTCGAGTCTTTGCTGAACAGAGTCTCGGATTGGGGGCGTCTAAATCTAGTCCAGTTTAACCCTCAGAAGACACAAGTTTGCGCGTTAACCGCTTAAAAGAACCCCTTTGTCGTATCTCCTCAGTTTCAAGGCACTCCCCTTGTTGCCTCAACCAGTATCGGAATCCTCGACGTCGACATATCGAGTGACGTGCAGTTTCGTGGTCACTTGGAAGAGAAGGCCAAATTGGCCTCTAAAAAGCTTGGCGTACTCAGCAGAGCGTGTCAGTATTTCATGTCGGCACACCGCCTGCAACTTTACAAGGCGCAGGTTCGGCCGCACATGGAATACTGTTCCCATCTCTGGGCTGGGGCTCCCCAGTACCAGCTCCTTCCACTTGACCGCATCCAGCGCAGAGCGGCTCGAATCGTCGACGACCGAGTGCTTTCCGATCGGCTCGATTCACTGGCACTGCGAATTGCATTTTCTTTCGCATATACCATGGAGAGTGTTCTGAGGAATTGTTCGGATTAATCCCAGCCGCCAAATTTCGTGAACGCACTACGCGGCAAACGTCCCGATAACATCCACATAATCTGGATGCTTGGCGGGCCACCACTGTACGTTTCAAAAGGAGTTTTCTTCCGCGTACAACCTCTCTGTGGAATAGTTCACCACCGGCAATTTTTCCGGACCGATACGACCTGGGGACCTTCAAGAAAAGAGCTTACTCCTTTCTAAAGGGCCGGCAACGCACCTGCAATTCCCCTGGTGTTGCGGTTGATCAAGTGCGGCGGTAGCCACTTAACATCAGGAGAGCCGCATGCTCGTTTGCCCCCTCTGCTATAAAAAAAAATTAAAAGGATTTATTATGATTGAATGAAGGATGATTATTCAGCTTATGTATTGATGGTCAACAAATACCTTCAAAAGCTTTGCAACCATCTTTTAATAATAGTATATTTACATCAGCATATCATACTCTATTCTCGGGAACTGGTATTCACTTTCTTAATGAAGGAAATGGAATCTCTTACTGTCTATTAGTATTTGACTTAACTCCTGATTTATCAGCCAACTCATCAGCTCATTGGAATCTTATAAAGCATGGTAGTAGAATAGAAGTACGATTTGAATCCTCACTAATACAAATAATTTACTGTATAGTTTATGCTGAGTTTGATAATATTATTGAGATAGATAAAAACAGAAATGTTACTGTAGACTATAGTAGTTAAGGTTATAATATGTGTTGTGTGTTCGATTTTATGTGTTATGTGTAATGCATTTTGTGTGTATGTAACTATGTGAATCGTTATAAAATTAAATAAAACAAATTGTATGCAATATATTATTTTTTATTGCTTTATAAATCTTCTATTTAATCTAATACAAAACACTGTTCGAGTTTAAAGTTACATCGGACTCTCTCATTAGATCATCAATAATAACAAGATGTGGGTTTTCACCATCAAACATATTAAGATTTGGAATTCGTTGATGATAGTTAACATTTGGTAAATTATATAAAGGTTGCATTTCATCAAAGCACCATGTGATCTGATTAAAATCACAATTACATATTTCTGTAACTGATTTTATGAAATTTGTTACAAAATTTGACTTCCCACATCCATTTGGTCCTGCTACAATAGCAGTAAACGGATGTATAAAGTGAAACATTACAGTCCTAAGGGGTGAAATAAAAAATGAAAGTGTTGGTATAAACAATTAACATATATTGTGTACTATAACTAATGTTTTTGGGAAATCAAACAAAATTTATGATTAATTTAAAATCTTATTTTCAAGCAATAACCACTTGTAAAAAACCCACACTTCATCACAAGAACAATGTAAAATTTTGTGATAATTTTTTTGCAAATATAGGATTACACACATAACGTTTGTTTAAATTTATGAAATTTACCAAATCATTGTATTTTGGACATTTGTATTCTTCAATATTAAAAATTCTATCATTCGTCGTCAACATTTTTAAAATTTTTTTCTGCTGAACCACCTTTGTATGCGAGCACTTCGTCGTTGCACAAATTTCTAATGTACCGATTTAATATGGGATTAATGTTCTCTTGTTTGTACGTGTTGCACGTGTGTTTCGCAATAACGAACAGTTTTTTTGTCTTTTGGCGACAAATAATTGAAAGGATAACTTGGCCGAAACAAATAATGATCGATAAACGCATAATTTTTATTAGATAGTTTTACGTCTAGAATAGCCATTTCTCTACATTGAAAATGTTTGAGGATATCTAATGTAAAATCCGTCCATGTCGATGATGTATCTAATATTTTTTAGATTTTGTGTCATTTTGAACCAAAAAGTTAAAAATATTTACACGTGACTAAAAATATGTTTGTTCCAACAAACTTCACATAACAATGCTTCATTACTTCCCATCATCCCATCTCTTCCTTCTGTTCTTGTCTTCCTGTAATTTAAGTAAACATAATCACATTCACTAATGATCAACTAATGACTATCATTGTTAAAAAAGTATTTTTTAACTTTTTCACTTTCTGCTATTGTCTTTGTATTTAGGGCTAGGAAATGTCCGCCGCGCTGCCTCAATGCGTGTTGGCGAACTTCACATGCTTTCGAAATTTTCTCAGACATACAGGTTTCCTCACGATGTTTTCCTTCACCGCCGAGCACGTGGTAAATCAACACTTAAAATTGCAATTAAAAATTTAATTGGTGCCGGTGGAGATCGAACCGAGGTCGCGTACTGTGAAATTTACAGCATGCGCTAACCATCTGAGCTACCACGGCTTAATCATATACACACAAAATATTTAAATATAATTTGTTAAGGGGAAATATAATCTCAAATGGCTTAGCAAGATCCTTCGTTATGCCGAAAATATTGCAGCATTAATTTTGAAATAAATATATGGTAAAGTTGAGGATTAATGTTAAGGATTATGTTAGACGATAACACGATTTCGTAAAATTTTCTCGATAGAAAAAATCCAAAGTTACCTCCAAAATAAACAATAAACCGCTGTTATTCATAAAATACTTTAAATAAGATCATGAAACTTTGCATACTAACTGAACTAACTATAAAGCAGTGCTTATGTTATTTACTTTTTTTTTAAATACCATTATTTTCACTGTAAAAAGAAATTACCTATCTATTAATAAACTATCGGCCTCTTGAAGCGTGATTCCTGCCGCCCGGTCACTTCGCTTCGGCCTTTGAAGGAGGAGGTTGTGTCGCTTACAATCAGAATATACATTACGCAACAGGACGACGTAAAATTAAAATGTGAAATAACCGTAATAAAAATAAGAAGCGACTGGCTTGGCGTTAAGAAACAGGCATAAATGTGATAAACATAATGAAATAAGTGTCTAACGACCTTTCTACTTACAGTATTAGTGATTACAAACACGTCGGTACATAGCATACGATGCGCGGGCAAGTGGGGACGAAATTAGAATTTGAGCTGACTTACTATATCCCCTTAACACTAAATCATACACACGTAAGAAAATAACAGAAAGAAAAGTAAGTTTATCAATAGAATAAACACTTACATCCATGGCCTTTGATGCGTTGAAGTAACACAAATGTAGTATTGATAGAATGTAGTATTGATAGGTCAAACGACCATACACTAACTCCATGACTGCAGCTGCTCGGTTTTATATAGCACCAGTAAGTAATTATTCTAATCTAAAGAATTTCTGCAGTGAAAATGATAGTAACTTTATGCGTCAACAAGCTTATCTCACATTCTGTAGTATATCTCAACATTCCTTCGTGTTGCGTCATGCTAGATGTATCGATGACTCAAATACGATTTGTATATCACAAAGAATGCAATTTAATATTTAGAAATCACTATAATTGATCATTCCTATGTTAGTCATTGAGTAGATTGTTACTGTGATAATCTACTAATAACAGTAATATCATGGATACAAGAGATGTACAACAACATCTGAAAAAGATTCACCCCAGTCTAGAAAATAATGTTTATGCTGCTAATAGACTGCCCATGTATACCCACGTACCAACGTATATAATATGCAATTTGGATACAGTTGATAAACCAGGGTCACATTGGGTAGCTTTATATATCGATACGAATGACGTCGGTCAATATTTTGATTCATATGGACGATCACCTGTACGATATCATCTAGAGTTTTTAAAAAGGAATTGTAAAAGATGGAACTGGAATGTTGATAGGATTCAGAATGAGTGGACTTCAATTTGTGGCGAATATTGCTTAATGTATTTGCTATATAAGTTTCAGGGATGTTCAATGCATAGTTTTACGAGTATATTTACATGGGAACACATTGTACCACGATATTTTAGTGGATGAGATGTTTCGCTCCTATTTTATAGATAATAAGTAATAAGATTTTGTATTTTGTAAATAAAAATTGTAACAAAATTAGGTAATGTGTTTTATTGATGATTCAGATTAGCGTTGTAGATAGGAACAAAGAAGTATAATACAATAGCATTAATAAGTCGACGCACACGCCGAGGAAGTATAGACAATAACAATAGATAAGAACAATGGGACACTAATGACGGTGGAGGCCCTCACCGGATATCAATTAGATATTAATTAATTGATCTAACATCTCCATCAATATTTGTAGATTGTTGTAAGTAATATGGCCAGGTTAGTGCATGAAGGTTCATGACCTATGTTTATTTTATTTTTTTAATCTATTTTTACAAGACCAATTCAAAAGCATGCAATCTATGCATTTCTGAAGGGGGGAGTTCAGAAGATGGGTTCTCCAACTTCTTCTCCATCCCCCACCCCCACTCCATACCATTTCGATATAAGGGTTAGTTAATCTAAAGATCCTTCAATATTTATAATGATTATGTCATGGCGTATTAGGATCAATATTTTTTACTATTTCCTATAATCTACAGAAAATTTACATTTTCTTTCCTATAGAAGCAGCAAATTTTATATGCTTTTAAAATGTGTATTGTAGACTTCTAGAAGAACAATTGGCGGATATGATCAACGAAACTTGGAAAAAATTCAAAATGGATTTCCGGCTAAAGGACGCGGAAGTTATTTTGCAACATGAAATAGACCGTTTGAATAGTAAGGATCTTATTTTTTCTATTTTATTATTTAGAATAAATAAAATCAAGAATTATCTATAATACAACTAAGTAATTATTAGTGGTCGGATAATCGGGTGCTTATTCATCTATAGTGAACCAAATCTAAGAAATACCTTTTGACGTTTCACATTAATCATTCCGCAATAACTTTGCACAAACGCACTCACACGATTTAAAATAACCTTTTACGTAAATCCGAAGAATTATGAAGTTATATATATATTTCATTACAACGTGTATAGTTTTTTATCGCTACTTTAAATTCGAATCTTTCAAACAAAGCAAAATATTAAAAATATAACCAGTATCAACTTTTTTACTTAACATCGTTTCAATGATATATCGCTATGTACTTTACCATAGTGTTTGTATAATTAAAATTCATTGTTATGCGAATAATCGTCAAAAACATTCAAATAATTCGAATATTGTACGTTCACGTTGTAGTTATGTTGTTGTATGTGTATGGTAATATTGTTGGTATATCACTTATTCTCTTGCAGGACATCCATTTGTTCAAGTAATATTCTCAGTCTTGTAATTATTTTTAGTTTAGTAAATTTACGGAATATTAGTCATTCCCGCGGTCGCGCAATTAAATAAATTTGATTTAGAAGTTCATATCCATAGTAATCTTTAATGTTAAAAAATGTAAAGTATAGGTAATTAAGCACCCGATTATCTGACCGTAAGTAATTTTATAACAGAAGTAAGAATTAAGAAATTAGAATAATTATAATAATATTTTCAGTTGTCTGTGGTATTACATGATGGCATTTAGGCTGTTCAGCATTTGATTTGCTTCATACTTGTTATACCTTGTTAAATAGATGATAATTTTATAAAACTATTTTATTTATAAATTAAATAATTTAAACTATAGAGATAAGATGGAAAGATGTAGTGTGATGTTACGTTAAATACAATAAAAGTAAACTCTGTCATTACTAGTTAACTTCCCAGTGGGAAGTTATTGCAATGGGTCTGATTTTGCAAATTGGAAATTTTAACATATCATACCTAGGTGGATTGAAAAGTACTCGGCCTATCACAGATCCATTCAATTCTAAATATCAAATCTACCCACATTATTTAGTTCAGTTCAGACTAGTTCATTGTGTGAAGTTCGAAACGTGTGCGATAATTAGTTGTGATTTTATAAATTTATTAACAAAGTAATCGGACATAATTTCCGCGAATGGAGCAAATCGAGCAGCGTGCCGTCATTAAGTACCTCCATAAGAAGGGGCTATCATCAAAAGCCATCCATGATGACATGGTCAGTACATTAGGCGATTGTGCTCTGTCATATTCATCCGTCAAAAAATGGATAGCAGAATTTAAGCGTGGTTGAGAGAGTGTGAAAGATGAACCCCGCTCTGGAAGGCCTTCGACGTCAACTACTGACGAAAATATTAAAAAAAAGTACTTGATTTAATAATGGGAGACCGCAGATTAAAAATTAGAGAGATAGCCGAGATTATAGGCATCTCTTACGAACGAACTCAAAACATCATTGTCAACGAGTTGGGTTTCCACAAGGTGTCTGCGAGGTGGGTTCCGCGACTGCTTTCAGTTGAACAAAAAAGGACGCGATTGACTATTTCACGCGACTGTTTGGAGTTATTTGAAGCCGATGCAGATGATTTTTTGAATCGTTTTGTTACTATGGACGAAACATGGGTTCATTACTGTACACCGGAAACAAAACAACAATCAAAACAGTGGAGAAGACCTGGTTCACCACCCCCTAAAAGGCTAAGTCGATTTTGTCGGCAAATAAGGTGATGGCTGCAGTATTCTGGGACTCGAAAGGTGTGATTATGATTGATTATCTTGAAAGGGGTCAGACTATAAACTCTGATTACTACTGCACCTTACTACGTCGTTTACGAGAGGAAATAAAAGAAAAACGTCGAGGAATGCTCAGAAGAAAAGTCCTGTTTCATCAAGATAACGCCCGTGTTCACACGTCAGTACAGTCAATGGCTGAAATTCACAACTGTGGCTTTGAACTGTTACCGCATCCGCCGTATTCACCTGATCTGGCACCATCAGACTTCTTTCTGTTCCCTAACCTAAAAAAGCACTTGGGAGGTCAAAGATTTTCGACAAACGACGAGGTCAAAGCAGCTGTAAACGCATATTTTGACTCTAAGGAAGAATCATTTTTTTTCAACGGTCTAAATGCTTGGAAGGGGAGGTGGCAAAAGTGTATTGAACTTAATGGTGATTATGTAGAAAAATAAAAATATAACTGATTTAGTATGTGTTTATTTTCTTGGTTAGGCCGAGTACTTTTCAATCCACCCTCGTAACACGTTCAAAGGTCCTAAGAGTCGAATAGTATGGTTTTTAAGAGGATGTCCGTGTGTGCACATGTGCGTATGTATTTATGTATGTATGTTCGGATTCAATTTTCGCCTCGAGTATCTCGAGAACAAAGAGTGATATTGACATGGGACCAGTTTCATTTAACGCAAAATTATGTAACTTAGATCTCATTAAATTTTGAGCAAAATCGGTCAAGTTGTTTTTTGTGCCGAATGAAAAATTGTATAAAATATTAAAACATACGATATTTTTTTATTTTTTCCACTGAGAGAAGTTAGTTGTGTGGACCTTTTGGGTCGCACCTAGACCGCTTTTATTAATTTTGTACATGCCCAAATTAAAGAAGGTGAATTTTTAAACGGAATATGTGTTATAATTTCTGATTAATATTAAACACGCTTTAAAGTCTTACCTTTAAGAGTGGCAGCACCACAGACGGTGTTTCGTTCTAGAATTTATACGGAAGTCGGGATATAGCGTCGAATTAGCAACGTCGCTTTTTTATTTTGAAGTCGCAGTTTATTTACCCTTACCCAACTTCGCCGTATGAAAAGTGATAAGTGTACCCTTACTTAGTATATATACATCGTATCCAAAATTTTTGCTAAAATGATATAAATTTCTTGTAGCTAAACTTATAAATTACTTTACTATTTGATTACTTTTATTTAAAGCTATATAGAGTTGCTGATATACGAGTAATTTGTTGTATTGAACGTAGCGTCACCCGTATTAAATATGATTACTACGAAATATTCATCCATATATCTATTTGCAACGTACAAAAGTCCACTGCTGTACATAGACCTCTTCCATAAATTGCCTTACTGAGGGGACTTTGCCATAGTTGCCACACTTGGCAGGCGGTTTGGCAACCACAGGTTTTTATTATTTTGAGCTGTTATCATTAGAAAGATGCTGCTAATCGTCTTCTGTTTTATTTCCCTCTGTGGCCACACCCACGCGATGAAATGGCGTAGTGATATTCTTACACCATCACTACACGATCTACTACGAAATATGACACTTTCAAATTTAAAATTTCAGAGGAGAATAAAGAAATTGACGACATGTTAAACGAGTGCCAAGTGGCGACCGATAAGCTGCGGAACGAATTATATGCGACTTTCGAGCAAGAGCGGAAGGAGATACCGCCCATCGTTATTAACGACACGTCCAACCTTACGGTACATTAAGTGGCAATTTACAACATATTAGATCCAGTGCATCACTAAGTAGTTGAAAACAAAGTCGCTTATCCCCGTATTTGCTTAAAACTGTAAAACTATTCGATAGATTTTTGTTTGGTTTATGTCATCATTGAATGAATTAATCGATGAAGATTATCGAACTTTAAGCATATTTTATGTTAGGATTTTTTTATTATAGAAGTATGGGTGACAAGAGAGTACACAGCTTACTGATGCTGATGATGCTGAGATGCTGTGGTTCATAGTTTCAATTCTATCTTCGATTGAGATTCAAAATGTAGATGCGTTGTCACCCCTGACGACCGAGATGAAATGCCTTTTTACCAGTAATAACTGTCCCTGGAAGTCAGCTGACTAAGCTGCTATTTTACGCTGGTAATCTGCGCGAGCTTAGTTCTTTCCCGGTCTAGCAGACGCATTCATCCTGATTCTGCCTGATAATCCGGTGCATCGTAGCTTTATTTATAAGTTCCTGACAAGTTTTATTTCTTACATACCATTGCGTCCCCACTACCTTTTTTCTCCAGCCTCTAATATTCCGCTAATAGACGTTGGCGAACAGGCGTGAGCGTTGATGGATTTTTAGAAAATATTCACAATCTAAAAATCCATCAACGCTCACGCCTCTTAGGTTTTTTTTATAGGGTAGGGTGACAAATGAGCACACAGACCACCTGATGGTAAGTAGTAGCTGTGGCCCATACACATTTACATCTATCCTCGATTACGAATCAAAATGCAGATGCGTTGTCACCCGTGAGGACTAAGATGGAATGCCTCGTTTCCAGTAAAAAGGGTCTTCGCTTCTCTACACTCACCATACGAAACACAATAGCATTAAGCTACTATTTGACGCTGGTATTCTGTGAGATCGTGGTCCTTCCCCGGTCGAGCCGACCCATTCGTGCTACGTCTATACTACTAATATAACTGCAGCATGGCTCTACCACGTATAAAGGTTGGTAGGTGAGGACTACAGACTTTCATTTGGTAGTATCCTGACACACTAGCTTCTTTCTCATCCATATACCTACACGCATACATGCTCGTAGGTTAAGGGTATTCTTAATTTGGCCCATCTTCAATTTGCCAATTTGGTCGATAAACGTTTGTCTAGGGCGTCCCTTGCTGATTTTGCCACTCACTTCTGCAACAAACATTTGCTTTGTCATTCATTCTTTATAATTGTCCGAACTACCGAAGTTTTATTTTCTTAACCTTTGTGATTTTTTTTGTATTGCACACTTTTCCCTTATCACACAAGTTCTCACCCTATCATTCCTAGTTAGTCCTAACGTACTACTTCGAAAGAAGAAAATATTCAATAGCTATTTCATAAATTTTCCCTAAACGAATCGCTCTTTACCACAGTACAGAAACAGAAACTTTTTTTTTTTAGATAATATAGATTATACGACCAACTTTGAAACTTTGAAAGATGAAGAATGTGGGTTAAGAATGGGCGAGTTAACCGTCAAATGCCTTTTGTATGCCGATGATCAAGTCATATTTGCGTCATCGGCGGCTGAGTTGCAAATGATGGTTACATTAATGAACTGGGAATTAAAAGAAAGGGGAATGAAAGTGAACGCAAGTAAGACGAAAGTGATGGTTTTTGAAAGAGAAGAAAGAAAAACGGTATGTGAAATAAGAATAGAAGGAGAGTTAATTGAGCAAGTGGATGAGTTTGTGTATTTGGGATGTGTATTTAGCAGGGATGGTAGATATGATAAGGATATAGAACGACGAGTAAATGCAGGGAATAGAGTGAATGGGGCACTACACTCTATTATGAAGAACCAGAATGTGTCCAAAAAGGCACGTATGGTAATTCATAATGCTGTGTTAGTCCCTACTTTAATGTATGGTAGTGAAAGCTGGGTGTGGCAGAAGAAGCACGAAAGTAGAATAAATGCTGTAGAAATGCGGTCTTTAAGGAGTATGCTAGGGTTGAATCTGAATGACAGGGTGAGAAATTGCGTGATAAGAGATAAATGTGGTATGCAAGATGATGTTGTGACCAGGATTAAGAAAGGAATACTTCGGTGATTTGGTCATGTAGAAAGAATGAATGAGGAAAGAGTGACAAAGCAAATTTATATGGCAGATGTGAACGGCCGAGTCGGGAAGGGGCGCCCTAGAAAAAAGTTTATCGACCAAATTGGCGATATTTTGAAAAGGGGCCACGTTAGAAGTACCCTTAACCGACGAGCATGTATGTGTAGATATGGATGTAAAGGAGGCGAAAGAGGTATGTCAGGATCGTGTCAAATGGAAGTCCATAGTCTCTGCCTACCCCTCTGGGTGACAGGCGTGAGTGTTTATGTTATGTATGTAGATTATACGAGTAAATAATACTTATTGAACGACACTCGTTTGTTTAAAATACCACTGGTTGGGAAAAAATTCTCTGTCCTGAGAAGAACCAGCAAGAAACCGAGTGGGACTTTACTATTTGAGAAAAAAACATAGCTTACAGTCAGATATGTTACACAATTAATAACACAAAAAATTTACAAAATAAATTAGAAATAACTTTGTAGCGATCATCTCATTCCCCGGGGTTATTATCATCCATAAATTCCTTAATATTATAATAACCCTTTTTATACAAACTTTGTTTAATAAAGTTTTTGAACTTTGAGCAGGTCGAATTTTGTATATTTTCTGGGATTTTATCGTCAAAGCGTATACATCGCCCCATGAATGTATTACTGACTCGGTGGAGTCGAGTAACCTGTTTTACTAGCTTGTGTGTTTTCCTAGTTCCTATTGTTTATCTATATATTAATTCTGTCCTTGGTGTAGTACTTACTTAATTTTTTTTATAATTTGTTTTAGTATTCCTGTTATGAGGAAAATGCAGAAGAAAAATTAGAGGTAAGTTCTAATTTATGCTGGTTCATATTTTAGCAGGTGTTGCTAGTTTAACTAATTGGCAAAATTTATATATATGCGCTTGTGTTTGTTAAGTTCTGAGAGTAGGTAAAAACATAAAAATCGTTTTCAATTTCATATCCAAAAATAAACCACAATGTAGGAGTGTTTTTACACTAACATAGTGTAAAAAAGCAGGTTTTCATATCTGAATGTGTTCATTGTGCATTCACATAACATATTTTAGGTACTCGTTCCGTGGCAAACATGGCAAACACTTCGGCGATGTCATTGCATTAGTCGCATTTGGAAATTTTTTATTTGCATTATTTTTACGCGCTATGGTAAAATCAGGCTTAATAATAAAAATTGGCCAATAAAATACTTCTACCGAAAATTACTTTCACCAAAATATGCGTAGAAGCTTCGCTTCTATCGGACGTCCCTGACGTCAACCATTTTTTATTAATTATACTTTATAGAAATTTTATTTTGATTCGTAAAATAATATGAAATCATTTTGAATTGATGACATTTGTTATTTCAGTCGCCACAGACTCGTATGAAGCGTCGTATGTCTACCATCAGTGATACACCTGCCAAAAAGCTGGCCGTCTTGACCGGACAGAGTACAACGGAAAATGAGGTTGAACAGGTTTGTTTTAATTGTATTGTTATTCATATCGCTTAACTATTTTGAACCCAATGAACTTGTTGTTTCTTTATATTAGCCAACCGTTTGTCAACGTATATTTATAATTGCTGTATTTTTTATGGGACTGTTTCTGATGTTAAATATCGTATTATAAAGTATTACGTAACGTACAATACTAACGAATCGTTCGTTCGTCTAATTGTTTCGGGGATACCATCATAACCTAATAAAACTATAGTTAAGTAATGCCTAATAATAATACCTCGTTGCCTCGATCTCGACTGCCTCGTTGGTCTAGTGATTGTAGTAGTGCGACTGCTGATCATGAGGTCCTGGGTTCGAATCCCGGGTCTGGCCAAAAAATTATTTACTGAGTTTTTCCGTCAAGAAATTCTCAGTAGTTGCTCGGAGTCAGGAAGTTGGCGGTGTCTCACCCCCGTGCCTCGGAAAGCATGTAAAGCCGTTGATCCTGCGCCTGATCTCTCCGGTCGTGTCGGTTTACCGTCCCATCGGATTACGAGAGTGAGGAAATAGAGAGTGCACCTGTGCTTGCGCATACACTTGGGCACTATAATCCTGTCCTGCGACGATAGCTAGTCTCCGTTGAGGCAGGCCGCCGTGGCCGAAATTCGGTCTGTAGGACATTATTATTAATAATAATACCATAAATTATATAATGTTTCCGAGAGTTTCCATAGCTACGCCTTAAGGACGCGTTTACAAATCAACCAAAATTAGAGTGTTTTTCGGGAGATTTTGTGACAAAACTGAACCAAATCAAATATAAGTAAAAACTACCATGTATAGATTGGTTCTTCATCTGCAAACGTCTGTAACTCTTTTGTTGAAAATAGTAGTTTTTTATATTGTAAAAACGAACTTTCGTTGCCAGTTTCTACAAAATTAACGATACCGGCTTGTGTTTGGGTACATGTTTTGGTCTATTATCAACATATTTAAAAAATTTAAAAAATACTATAAGATAACAGACATATTCAATTAAAAAACCCTGTGTTTATTTTTATCAAAATGTCACAAATAGTCGTAGAAAAAATAAAAACTGATGCACATTTTTTCACATATTTTGCTAATACGGATAAATCATAATCTATTGCAATAAGGGCTATTTTATTGTTGGTGCCTGCTTTGATTTATTGTACAAAGATTTCGATGAAACCACAGTCCGCGCTTGGCCGCCGTCGTGAGTGGACACTGTATCGCCTGTTTGCAGCGGCTCATTCTGAAAAGATCGCTGTACATACACAAAATATTAGAAAAAAACAAATTGGAAACATAAGTACTTGACAAGTGATAAAATTATTATTTTTATACTCACAGTTTTTTATTTAGCTAAAAATAAGTAGAATATATAAACTTACCTACTACTGCAACTCCTGGACGAGCGGAACTAGGTGTGCCGAGTTTGGGCTCGTTTTGTTAGTTATGATGAGACCTTACCTCCGGACTTGATGGAGTGACCTGAAGGTGTACTTTCGTGACCGCTATTTGAACTTCTTGCAGAGTAAAACTAGGGGTGGCGAATTTGGGCTCCGTTTTGTTAGTTATGACGAGTCCATACCTCCGGACTTGATGGAGTGACCTGAAGGTGTAAATCGGTGATTGCAACTGGAACTCCTAGACTGGTAGAACTAGGTGTGCCGAGTTTGGGTTCGTTTTGTAGGTTATGATGAGACTTTACCACCGGACTTGATGGAGTGACCTGAAGGTGTAGTTCGGTGATTACAAGTGGAACTCCTAGACTTGTAGGACTAGGTATGCCGAGTTTGGGTTCGTTTTGTTAGTTATGATGAGACCTTACCACCAGACTTGATGGAGTGACCTGAAGGGGTAATTCAGTAACTACTGCTGGAATTTCTAAACGAGTAGAACTAGGTGTGCCGAATTTGGGCTTCGTTTTGTTAGTTATGACGAGTCCATACCTCCGGACTTGATGGATTGACCTGAAGGTGTAAATCGGTGATTGCAACTGGAACTCCTAGACTGGTAGAACAAGGTGTGCCGAGTTTGGGTCGTTTTGTAGGTTATGATGAGACCTTACCACCGAACTTGATGGAGTGACCTGAAGGTGTAGTTCAGTGATTACAAGTGGAACTCCTAGACTTGTAGAACTAGGTGTGCCGAGTTTGGGTTCGTTTTGTTAGTTACCATGAGACCTTACCACCGGACTTGATTGAGTGACCTGAAGGTGTAATCAGGTGGTTACAAATGGAACTCCTAGACTAGTAGAACTAGGTGTGACGAGTTTGGTTTCGTTTTGTTAGTTACGATAAGACCTTACCACCGGACTTGATGGAGTGAAATTCGGCACACCTAGTTCTACTGGTTCAGAAATACCAGCAGTAGTTACTGAATTACCCCTTCAGGTCACTCCATCAAGTCTGTTGGTAAGGTCTCATCATAACTAACAAAACGAACCCAAACTCGGCACACCTAGTCCTACAAGTCTAGGAGTTCCACTTGTAATCACCGAACTACACCTTCAGGTCACTCCATCAAGTTCGGTGGTAAGTATCTAACCTACAAAACCAAACTCAAGGCACACCTAGTTCTACCAGTCTAGGAGTTCCAGTTGCCATCACCGATTTACACCTTCAGGTCACTCCATCGAGTCCGGAGGTATGGACTCGTCATAACTAACAAAACGGAGCCCAAATTCGGCACACCTAGTTCTACTCGTTCAGAAATTCCAGCAGTAGTTACTGAATTACCCCTTCAGGTCACTCCATCAAGTCTGATGGTAAGGTCTCATCATAACTAACAAAACGAACCCAAACTTGGCACACCTAGTCCTACAAGTCTAGGAGTTCCACTTGTAATCACCGAACTACACCTTCAGGTCACTCCATCAAGTTCGGTGGTAAGGTCTCATCATAACCTACAAAACGAACCCAAACTCGGCACACCTAGTTCTACCAGTCTAGGAGTTCCAGTTGCCATCACCGATTTACACCTTCAGGTCACTCCATCAAGTCCGGAGGTATGGACTCGTCATAACTAACAAAACGGAGCCCAAATTCGGCACACCTAGTTCTACTCGTTCAGAAATTCCAGCAGTAGTTACTGAATTACCCCTTCAGGTCACTCCACAAGTCTGGTGGTAAGGTCTCATCATAACTAACAAAACGAACCCAAACTCGGCACACCTAGTTCTACCAGTCTAGGAGTTCCAGTTGCCATCACCGATTTACACCTTCAGGTCACTCCATCAAGTCCGGAGGTATGGACTCGTCATAACTAACAAAACGGAGCCCAAATTCGGCACACCTAGTTCTACTCGTTCAGAAATTCCAGCAGTAGTTACTGAATTACCCCTTCAGGTCACTCCACAAGTCTGGTGGTAAGGTCTCATCATAACTAACAAAACGAACCCAAACTCGGCACACCTAGTTCTACCAGTCTAGGAGTTCCAGTTGCAATCACCGATTTACACCTTCAGGTCACTCTATCAAGTCCGGAGGTATGGACTCGTCATAACTAACAAAACGGAGCCCAAATTCGGCACACCTAGTTCTACTCGTTCAAAAATTCCAGCAGTAGTTACTGAATTACCGCTTCAGGTCACTCCATCAAGTCTGGTGGTAAGGTCTCATCATAACTAACAAAACGAACCCAAACTCGGCACACCTAGTTCTACCAGTCTAGGAGTTCCAGTTGCAATCACCGATTTACACCTTCAGGTCACTCCATCAAGTCCGGTGGTAAGGTCTCATCATAACCAACCAAACGAACCCAAACTCGGCACACCTAGTTCCACTAGTCTAGGAGTTCCTGTTGTAATCACCAAATTACACCTTCAGGTCACTCCATCAAGTCCGCAGGTAGGTAAGGTCTTATTATAACTGACAAAACCAGTTCAAAGTCCAGAGCTAACATCTCACTACCAGTAGAGGGCTTCCAGTGCCAAGTAGTCTCTGGAGCAGGTATTCGTATTTCGTATCGAAGTATATTTCTGAGGTAGGTATAAGAAATGAAAAACAAATTCAATCTTTCAAATTATCAAAATAATTTCATTTGACTACGATTCCCACGGCCAACCGTGCGTACACTAGTGTGTGTGACTTTTGTCAATGTAGTAGTGCGATTCTATACCTATCAATTTTGTAAACGCGTCCTTAACCAGCTAACTGCCTACACTTAGTTTTAGCCATGACTTCGAATACATTCAAGTTTAAACAAGTGGAGTGTAGATTTAGTTATTGTTTATTAAGTTAAGTAAACAATTTAAATCATGTAACGTCTTTTATTTGTCTTTCATTTTCATTTGCTTTTACATTTTAACTATTAAGTTACTGTTAAACTTAACTTTAACAATGAAGTATGAAGAAAGATAACTATAGCTTACACTCAAAACTAAATTTAAGTTTAGCCGGCTTATCTTAGGTTTATTATTTACATTAACATTAGCCATAACATACTTAAAAACAAAGATGGAATGATATATAAAATCTATATATTTGATACTGTTCTTAAGTTTACTAAATTTCAAGCAGAAATTACTAATAATACTACTAATACTACAATATTATTACATTAATATTGACTTAAAATATATTCACACAAAATAGTGTATTCACATCATAATTGAATGAGCGACATTATGGTGGGCAGACGTGTCATACATAGTATAATAAAATATGATTTAAATGCCTTTATAATTACAGGTATTGTACATATATTCGTAATCAAAAAAATCCAGAAGGAAATAATAATCTTGTAAAATGCAAACAAGTATGCTCAATTACTTAAATATTTTTTGGCAAAAGTTCGCGCTTCATTAAGCAATTGTTTCCAGGAAATAAAGCCGGCATCTAAGTCACCAGACAGTGTCGATGACGATGTGAGTACATTCGATATGTCATTTCCTGATGCATGTATTTATTGTTATTTATTACCAAAAGATTTATATGATTCACATTAAAAAAATGATTATTGGTTACTGACGGATTGATAAGCTGAAGTGGCAATCGGCCGGTCGTAGCTCGAAGAACCGACAACCGATGGGGAAGAAAGTTTCTCGAGTGCCAGCCTTGTGCTTGCAGGTGAAATATAGAGCGTCTCCCCATTAGATGGAGTGACGACCTGTTAAGACATGCAGGAAGTCAATGAATGCAGGTGGCTCAAGACAGTGCTTTGTGGCATACCCTAGAGAAGGCCTATGTTCAGCAGTGGACCTGTGAAGGGCTGTAATGATGATGATGAATCGTTACTGGGCAACTGGCTTTGGTTTTGTGAAGTAGCTCTTTTTTATTAAAGGTACAAATCAATTTGCCTGATGGTAATTTTCAAAAGGTATTCCGAAGGATAACGATGCGTCTAAACGCGTTAATGAATCCTAGATAATGAAATGTTACGGTTGAGGTTTACTTCGCCTGTCTGGATAATTGATGTCTGGGGTAGACAACATGGTCACACATGTGTCTATCGGATTGAAATTCCTCAGACAGTTTTCATAAACGCGGGATGAATTCTCTTACGCTGTCACAATCTTGGGAGTAATAAATGGTATTCTTTGGATTTGTTAAAATGAGATCCCACGACGTGACGTTCCTTTAGTCGTCCTTTATATATCCTTAATATCTCCGCAATAAATTGCGGTTGATTGCGGTATTACTTAGCTTAGGTACTTAAGAATAGAAAACCCCCTTTGTGTGACAACCGAAAATTACAATATCCGCTCATAGAGACACACTTGTAGAGCATTGTTCTAACCTTCAAAATGTTTTTTGTTTTATTTCGCGTCGGAATATTGAAAACTATATTTCACTAATATAATTTCGTATCCAAACACACATGATGTGATTTTAGCCGATAGTCTCTAGTCATAGTAATACTAATGTGGGTTATAGCTCAGATGGTTAACGCTCGCTGTAAGTATAACAGAACGCGAGTAACCCAGGTTCGATCCCCGCCGGCACCAATTAAATTGTTACTTGCAATTTTAAGTGTTGGTTTACCACGTGCTCGGCGGTGAAGGAAAACATCGTGAGGAAACCTGCATGTCTGAGAAATAAGAAAAAAATATATATTTCGAAGACATGTGAAGCTCGCCAACACGCATTGGGGCAGCGTGGCGGACACATCCTTGCCCTAAAACGCTCTCAAAAATGAGAGGAGGCCTGTGTTCAGCGTCCAGCAGTGGGACATTATATAGGCTGTAACTTTACTTTACTTTAATGTGGGTGAGAAATACAAATATTAAAAATACTTTTCCTTTGCTTAGAATGTGGAGGTATCTGTGGTGAAGCTGTCGGCGGAAGCGGCGCCTGCCGACCTGCCGCCGCCGGGTGAGGTGACGCGACCACCATTGCGCGTCGGTATGACGGTGTACGCCATGAGGAATGCTTTCGGACTTTGGCTCAAGGCGAAGATTGTCGAGACGCAGGCTAAAAATTCGGTATGTGAATGAGCAGAATATGTTTGCAATTGTGCATAATCGAAGATTTCTTATTTATTGTGTAGTAGCGGTGTAAGAATATCCATTATCCTATATCGTGTCGTAAGAGGCGACAGAGGTAAACAAACTAGGAGATGGGTAGTAGCGTTTTCTTTTACCAAATAGAAAAAATAAAATTCCCCTTGCCAACCCGCCCGCCAAGTGTGGCAACTATAGCAAATATCCCCCTGATGAGGTAATCTATAAGGAGGCCTGTGTTTGGGAGTGGACCTCGACAGGCTGTAGTAAATACGTGTAGTGAAAACAGACATTAAAACCGAATTTTAATGAACGCCGCAACTCGGTATCGGAGAAAAGTGAAGACGAAACGTTTTTTTTTCTTTACCCACACTGTGTGTAAAAATAAAGCACAGTAGCAAGTATATTTTCTTCTTACTTTAAAAAAAGTATTATTAATAAACGGTTAATCAATTAAATTAAAACAAAAGGATTATAATGCTTTTAATGTTTTTATTTTCAGTCATCAGTCCCGTTCACAATGTGTCGCGTGAGGTTCGAGCACAAAGTCAATAAGAATCCGTTCAAACTGTTGCCTGCGCGCTGTCTTGCGTATTCTGAGCCTGCCGACGTTCGTCTTACAATAGGTTAGTTATTTTTATTTTGTTGATTATCATTCTGCCGAACTTATCAAGGTCGCGCAATATTATTTCTATTTCTTCCGACTTAAAATAACGATCGAATTTTTATACAGAGTCTTCACAAGGATTTCGGCGGCACTGGTTTCTATACAATAAATTTTGTTGATTATCATTCTGCCGAACTTATCAAGATTGCAATATTATTTCTATTTCTTCCGTCTTAAAATAACGATCGGATTTTTATACAGTCTTCACAAGGATTCCGGCGGTACCGGTTTCCATACAATAAATTTTGTTGATTATCATTCTGCCGAACTTATCAAGATTGCAATATTATTTCTATTTCTTCCGACTTAAAATAACGATTGAATTTTTATACAGAGTCTTCACAAGGATTTCGGCGGCACCGGTTTCCATACAATAAATTTTGTTGATTATCATTCTGCCGAACTTATCAAGATTGCAATATTATTTCTATTTCTTCCGTCTTAAAATAACGATCGGATTTTTATACAGTCTTCACAAGGATTCCGGCGGTACCGGTTTCCATACAATAAATTTTGTTGATTATCATTCTGCCGAACTTATCAAGATTGCAATATTATTTCTATTTCTTCCGACTTAAAATAACGATCGGATTTTTTATACAGAGTCTTCACAAGGATTTCGGCGGCACCGGTTTCCATACAATAAATTTTGTTGATTATCATTCTGCCGAACTTATCAAGATCGCAATATTATTTCTATTTCTTCCGTCTTAAAATAACGATCGGATTTTTATACAGTCTTCACAAGGATTCCGGCGGTACCGGTTTCCATACAATAAATTGTGTTGATTATCATTCTGCCGAACTTATCAAGATTGCAATATTATTTCTTCCGTCTTAAAATAACGATCGGATTTTTATACAGAGTCTTCACAAGGATTCCGGCGGTACCGGTTTCCATACAATAAATTTTGTTGATTATCATTCTGCCGAACTTATCAAGGTCGCAATATTATTTCTATTTCTTCCGTCTTAAAATAACGATCGGATTTTTATACAGAGTTTTCACAAGGATTCCGGCAGCACCGGTTTCCATACAATAAATGATACGACTACATAATGCACACATTCCAAGTATTTCACTGCGTGATTTTTATATTTTTCTGCATTGTGTTATTTTTCAGGTACTCGAATAATTGCATCTTCCGACAAAAGGGGGTCGTTCTATTCGGGAGTCGTCGCGGAGGTTCCAAACCCTGTAAATAATTATAGGTAAGTAATAAGAGATTTGAAAACAAGAGTGTACAATTAATGCATGTTGTCAGTGATGACTTAAGGATCTGAGACATGGTAATTCACTGCTGACCGAATGAGGAAGCTTAAGGTTGTCCAGTGAGCTAAACCGTGATAGAATTCGTAATGAGAATACCTGTAACCAATATAGCCCAAGCGATCTAAAAAGGGAAAGGGATCTAAAGGGAAGCTAAAATTGCAATGGGCCGTCCATATAGCTCGAAGAACCGACAACTGATAGGCAAGGAAGGTTCTCGAATGGCAGCCTCGTATCGGTAAGCGAATTGTAGGATGGCCTCCAACTCGATGGAGTGTTGACCTGATGCAAGTATTCGATGGTTGCAGGTGACAGGACCGTACTTTGTGACTATCTATAGGGAAAGCCTATGTTCAGCAGTGGGCTAGTGATGTGCTGTAGTGAGTGAGTGAAATGAGAATTGATGTGTGTGTATTGACGTAAGTGTTCACTTACCAATTAGGTGGAGAGTCTATTCGTTTGTCACCTTTATTTCTATAAAAAATTCTGTTATATGCTAGGTTACAATTCTTTTAAATTTAATCTTTTATATATAATTAAAATTGATAGAAGTACACTAAACCATCTTTTTTGCGTCGTTATTCATGGGGGGATATTTGCCATAGTTGCCACGCTTGGCGAGCGTGTTGGCAACCGCAGTTTTTTATTATATCACAGTTGTTATCAGGAAGATGCTGCTTCCCATCTCCTGCCTGTCTCCCTCTGTCGCCTCTTACGACACCCACGGGAAGATATGGGGTAGTGGATATTCTCAACGGCCACTACATGGCATTTTTTTGACATGCAGGAAGTCGATGGATGCATGTAGCTCAGGACCGTGCTTTGTGGCATTACTTGGGGGAGGCCTATGTTCAGCAGTGTACTTGTGAAGGGCTGTAATGATGATGATGATGATGATGATGATGATCTTTTTTATCAGATATTTGGTGTTCTTCGACGACGGGCACGCAAAATATGCACAACACGTGGACACACGTCTGGTGTGCGAGTGTTCACCGCTGGTTTGGGAGGAGGTGCATCCATACTCGCGCGATTTCGTGCGCCAGTACCTGCTGTCGTATCCCGAGCGGCCAATGGTGCGGCTGCATCCAAGACAGAACCTCAAGACCGAATGGAACGGTGAGTGTCTAGGGCAGTTGCTCTAGTTGAAATATTTATTTATTTTTTATTTATTTAATCTTTATTATATACCTTATATACTAAGGGATATAAAGGGCGGACTTAATGCCTTATGGCTATGGAGTGTAGAAGTAAGGAGTACCAACTCCCATAGTAGAATAGTTGACAAAGTGGCCATCTGTAAGCAGTAAATAACAGTTCAAAAACTCTCCACAACAGCGCTGGAGTAGCTACTGGGATGAAATGAACTTAGCAGTTGTCGATGGTTTGAAGTGTGCTGCTAAACTGCTCAGTAGCTCTAAAATCTAAAATAATTTTATTCAGTTAATATAACCTCGAAAAAGTCGTCTATTTCACTAATATTTTTCGGCACGTTTTTTAAAATTTAGCCCGTAGCTATAGTGGCGCCACCCTTATTTAACGGTTTTCTATGGACACTTTAATACACAATCTGTACTCCTTACTTCTACACTCCATACTTATGGCATTCTCTGCCAGTCTACTATGGTAGTACTGTGGAATTATGTGCGCAAGTACTTGTTGAACTTCTAACAGTCCATATTGTAGCTGTAGCCTGATCAGAGCTTTAAGAAATGAGTGAAACTATGAGTGATGGAATGAAGTGGGTGTGTAAGTCAGCGTTAACTTACCATCAGGTAAGCCCCATGCTTGTTTGCCCTCTCTTCTATAAAATATGTATCTATAGTGAGTGACCACTTGTTGTTTTACTATGAATGGTGTAACTGAATATTAAATCAGTTTTTTGAAGTGAAAACTTCTTTAGCGGTTTTGTAACATTTTTTTTGTAATGAGTAAAAAATGTTAAACTCGCGTCAGGACACATGACCGTAATCGAAAATGCGTAAGACGGACGGCGTAGGAGAGGAAGTATCCCCCTCTCTTTCTACGGCGCGGCGAAAATGTATGCCTTGCGCCTGCTGTTTCGTTTAGGCGGCGCAGGGCGCTTGCGTGAATGTAATAAATTGTCATGTTTGTGTACGATAGCGCAATAAATAAATATTGTATTCTACCACATAAATGATAGTACTTTTATACTGATAATTAAAGCAATTCGTGCAAAATTATTCCCTAACCATTCCAAGATTTAAAAAATGCACAACGTTAATATTCAATTTTTTTTATAAAATTGAAAGTGATAAACGATTTACAGTCCAGTTGATGGTACTTTGCTACTGCAGCTCATGGTCTACTGTAACCGACTTCAAACAAAGAAGGCAACAGGTGCGTTGTCATCTCTAAGAGCTAAATAGAAGAATGCCTCACAATCTTTACTTATACTGACTTGTTATAACTCTCAGACCGAAACACAGCAATACTGACACTGCTGTTTGGTGGCAGGTATCGTTTTGTACCTATCCTAGTCCTACCATCTAGTAAAGAGTACTAACCCAACCCCCATTTCTTTCCATGGTATCGTTATAGGAGACTGAAAAGTGTAAAGGTTTTAGATGGATGGTGGCATTATCATATCGTTTACGCCAGACGTAAAATGAACAGATCGGCAATGAGCATCGGCATCAAAAGTACACATGTGGCATTGGGAACAGCGCCTGCGAAACGTGACAATTGAAGCAAATATTCCCTCTTACATCTTCTCTAAAAGAAATTATACTCTATACAGCCGGAGGGGCTACGTACGGGTAGATTGAATTTTAATTTTAAAAACTAAAAAGAATGAAATATGAGGAATGTATAATGTGTAAATTATGTCCTTTTTGACCTCAAAGGACAAATTACAATAATTTACACATTATATAACTTATTTAATAAAAAAAAAGAACTTTTTTGACGAAAATATGGTGTAACATACATAACATAAACAATAAATGTGATGACAAATTGAGAACATCGTTCAACATCCTTCTTTTTTGAAGTCAAGGAAAAAAAATAAGTATACTCAACCAAATCTAAGAAATACCTTTTGACGTTTTACATTAATCATCCCACAATAACTTTGTACAAGCGTATTCACTCGATATAAATAACCTTTACGTAAATCCAAAGAGTCTATAATTCATTATAAAATGTATAGTTCTTTATCATTAATTAAAATTCGAAGCTTTGAAACAAAGCAAAATTAAAAAAAAATTATAAGAATCAACTTTTATGCACCTTATCTGTGTTTGGATGTTTCAAATTCATGCTAATAATTGAGAAGAATATTCGAATAATCGAACCTTTACATTTTTTTAAAATTTAATGTTTGTTTATTATAAATTATGTGAATCATGAATTTAATAAGTCATTTTTTTTAATTTCTGTGAATCCCACTGTAAAACTGTAATGCTCTTGTTAAATGAGACAACCTTTATGTTCCAAGTTCTGTTTATTACTGTTACTGACTTAAATTTAGAATATGTATTAGGTACATGGATACCGTGAGCCTCTACACCACTGTGGCGAAATTGCGAGTAAGTTTAGAAGATGTCGGTTTGTGTGGTTATAATGGTAGTATAGAGTCATTGAGAATCATTTCAAAATGAATTGACTTCGATACAAAAAATTGACAAATGCAAAATACTTATTAAGAGAAATAAGTGCCGGAATAACATTATTACGAAAAATTAAAAATATTAAGAATTGGGACAATGATATATATATTCATTGATAAAATAGGGCTAAACACCAACCACACTGTCTGCAGAAATGGAAAGATGCCACGTGCTAATGGTAAAAGGTGGGCGCCTAATAATTTGCTGGATCCGCCAAAGGATGATATATAGAAAGTACAACTATATGCTATTTAAGCGCTCACTGGGCCAAAGTGATGGAGAAAACAAAGAAAATTGTTATGGACGACTATGAAAGGCATTCATTTTGATTGCTGTAGATAATCAGATAATAGTAATTAATGTAAACAACAATGATGACGACGTCACCTCAACTAGTTGTGGTGAAAGTGATTAAATAAATTTGTTTTTAATCTAGTGCAGTCTTTCATTTATATAAATTTATCTCTAGAAATTAGCAGTAAGCAATAAATATGAAAAAAGAACTGATAAATTTTGTGTTTTTGAGTTTGTATTTATTCTAGTATTAATCTAGATGTCCTGATCTAACTGTAAATGATTATAAACTCTAAAGAATCGATGTCGATATCTTTTAAGAATTGAAATCCAATGAATAAGACGGCTGTCAAAAGGTATTTTTTAGATTTATTGGAGTATAATTTTATGTTATTATGTTATATCGATCCTGGTTGTTGCTACTATAAACTGCTGTTTATTGGCTATGTAGGCAAGTGGTGGACGTCGAAGGTGATGCAAGTGGACGCGTCGCTGGCGCTAATTAAGCTGGCGGGCGACCGGCTGGAGTGGATCTACCGCGGCTCCACGCGCCTGGCGCCGCTCTACCTGGAGCTGCAGGCCGCTGAGCGGCACCGAACCCGCCCCATGCCCAGGTCGGGCCCGCAGCACCGGGTGAGCCATGCCAACATTCGCACAGAGAATATACCCCGTTCGACCTAAAGCTGTAAACCGCTGAGCGGCACTGCACCCGCCTCATGCTCAGGTCGGGCCCGCGGCACCGGGTGAGCCATGCCGACATCCGCACAGAGAATGTACCCGCTCGACCTGGAGCTGCAAGCCGCTGAGCGGCACCGCACCCGCCCCATGCCCAGATCGGGCTCGCAGCACCAGGTGAGCCCTGTCGACATCCGCACAGAGAATATACCCGCTCGACCTGAAGCTGCAAGCGAACCTGAAGAGAACCTGAACCTGAAGAGCGGCACCGCACCCGAACCATGCCCAGGTCGGGCCTGCGGCACTGGGTGAGCCATGGCGACATCCGAACAGAGATTGTACCCGCTCGACCTGGTGCTGCTGCAGGCTGCAGAGCGGCACCGCACCCGCCCCATGCCCAGGTCGGGCCCGCAGCACCAGGTGAGCCCTGCCGACATCCGCACAGAGAATATACCCGCTCGACCTGAAGCTGCAAGCCGCTGAGCGGCACTGCAGCGGCCCCATGCCCAGGTCGGGCCTTCGGCACTGGGTGAGCCATGGCGACAACCGAACAGAGATTGTACCCGCTCGACCTGGTGCTGCAGGCCGCTGAGCAGCACCGCACCCGCCCCATGCCCAGGTCGGGCCCGCAGCACCAGGTGAGCCCTGCCGACATCCGCAGGGCCCCCCCCAGAGAATATACCCGCTCGACCTGAAGCTGCAAGCCGCTGAAGCGGCACTGCAGCGGTTCCATGCCCAGGTCGGGCCTGCGGCACTGGGTGAGCCATGGCGACATCCGAACAGAGATTGTACCCGCTCGACCTGGTGCTGCAGTCCGCTGAGCGGCACCGCACCCGGCCCATGCCCAGGTCGGGCCCGCAGCACCAGGTTTTTGAGCCCTGCCGACATCCGCACAGAGAATATACCCGCTCGTCCTGAAGCTGCAAGCCGCTGAGTGGCACTGCACCCGCCCCATGCCCAGGGACATTTGAAATGATACATGTTAGAATTGCGCTAAACTTTAGCGATATGTTAAATCGCGTGACTGAACGCTGATTTAACTCATACATTTTTATAGTTTTCTAATAGCGTTAACGTTTGTCGAACCCCGAGGTTATCTTTATTGCTGCACTGAATGCTTTGAATTTAGACAAAACAAACATCTTTATAATTTCAAATATTTTTTATTCATATAAATTGTATGCACATTTGTTTACTAAGATTCCATTTCAGACTAACATGCCGTACGTGGAATACACCCGCTACGACGAGGAACAACCTTCTAAATCACCTGCAGCACAAACACCGCAACAAAATGAAGTGAGTAACGAAAAATATTTTTTAATGCATATTATTTTTATTGGCTTTTAAAAATTTTTCTTCACCACTTGGTAGAAAATGTCCTTAAATAAAAAAATATCATTTTAATACCAACAACATTCTTAAGCCAACCGCAGGATGTAGACTTCCAAGAATACTTAGAAGTATAATTCTGCTTCCAGGTCCTTTAAAAGTGTCATTGTTAAGGCAAAGTCAGAGCACATCGGCAGAATTGGCGAGAAACTTGTTTGCCTTCCTTCGGGAACACGTGCATTCTGGTCTCTCGCCAAGGCTGTCCTAGAGAACTTCTGTCAGCTATCTCTCCCATCTCTGCACAGGGAGGCCAACTCACTGGCCCATGCTGCAAAGGAGAAGGCAAAGAACAAAGCCGATCTGATGGGTTCTCTCTATGCGTCTAGCTCGACTCTTGATGACGGGGGGAACACACCGCCGACCATCCCGTGAAGTGAGTGCTCCATGCAGGATGTCCTGTTTACCCAACGATCAGTGCGCAGAGCACTCCTCTTTCTGGACATCAACAAGTCGAGTAGGCCGGATGGCGTCCCTCCTATTGTGATGAAGACGTGTTCTCCGGAGTTGGCACCTGTTTTAACGCGTCTTTTCCGGTACTCCTACTCCCTTGGCGTAGTCCCGAAATCATGGAAGCCCTCGTGCACCCGATCCATAAAAAAGGTGACCGCTCTGAGCCGTCCAACTATAGGCCTATCGCCATCACCTCATTGTTCTCCAAAATAATGGAATCCATTATTAACAGCCAGCTCATGCGGTACCTTGAAGATCACCAGCTGATTAGTGACCGTCAGTACGCTTTCCGTCGCGGTCGCTCGGCTGGTGATCTTCTAGGTTACCTAACTAATAAATGGGCGGAGGCAGTAGAGTCCAAGGGGGAGGCGTTGGCCGTTAGTTTGGACATAGGGAAGGCCTTTGATCGGGTTTGGCACAGAGCGCTTCTTACGAAGCTTCCTTCCTATGGGCTTCCCGAAAAATTGTGCAATTGGATCACCAGTTTTCTTGCTGATCGGAGCATCAAGGTCGTAGTAGACGGTGCATGCTCCGATTACAAGCCCATTAACGGTGGTGTTCCACAAGGCTGCGTGCTATCACCAACGCTGTTTCTTCTGCATATCAGTGATATGTTGCAAATCGGAAGCATTAATTCTATGCAGACGACAGTACTGGTGATGCTTTATACTCCGGCCGTGCCAATATTTCTCGGGAAAACGTCGCCTAGTACCAAGACTAACTTGTGTCTGAAGTCGAGACTTTGTTGAATAAAATCTTGGGGGACTAAATGTAGTCCAGTTTAATCTCCAGATGACACAAGTTTGCGCGCTTGCCGCTAAAAAGAACCCCTTCGTCGTATCTGCTCAGATTCAAGGCACTCCCCTTGTTGCCTCAGCCAGCATCGGAATCCTCGGCGTCCACATATTGAGTGACGTGCAGTTTCGTGGTCATTTGGAAGAGAAGGCCAAATTGGCCTCTAAAAAGCTTGGCGTGCTCAGCAGAGCGGAATAGTATTTCATGCCGGCACACCGCACGCAACTCTACAAGGCGCAAGTACGGCCGCGCATGGAATACTGTTGCCATCTCTGGGCCGGGGCTCCCCAATGCCAGCTCCTTCCATTTGATCGCATCCAGCGCAGAGCAGTTCGAATCGTCGGCGACCGAGCAGTTTCCGATCGGCTTGACTCACTGGCAATGCGAAGAGATGTTGCATCTCTTTGCGTATTTTATCGCATCTACAACGGGGAGTGCTCTAAGGATTTGTTCGAGCTAATTCCAGCCGCACAGTTTTACCATCGCACATCGCAACAAAACTCGCGATACCATCCATACCATCTGAATGACTGGCGGTCCACCACTAAGCGATTTAGAAGAAGTTTTTTTCCTCGCACAACTTCCTTGTGGAATCAACTATCACCAGAGATGTTTCCGGACCGATACGACTTAGGGACGTTCAAGAAAAGAGCCTATTCCTTTTTAAAAGGCCGGCAACGCATCTGCAATCCCCCTGATGTTGCAGCTGTTCATGGGCGACGGTAATCACTTACCATCAGGTGAGCCGTATGCTTGTTTGCCCCCACTTCTATAAAAAAAGAAAGTGCCAGACGGCATGTATTGTTTGATTTTTCTTTACCTCAAAACCCTCGGAAGTGCGAAATAATCTGTGCTTAACAGTGACGTACTTAGGTTGTTATTTTAATATACACACAACGTCTGGATTCGCAGGGTACTGGTATAGAGAGTATTGTAATAGATGCAAGTAAAAAAATGTTGTGTTGCAGGAGATTCGTCGTCAACGCGCCGTGGCCAAGAAGTCTACGACGACGAGCCAGCCGCCGGCGCCCGTGCCTGTGCCCGCGCCGCCCAGTAGCGCCGCTAACTTGGACAACGTCACCAGCCGAGTTGTGGTATGTGTGTGGTCGCCACGGCATTATATATTATTATCTCGTTTGGTGGAAGGGTAGTAAGATTTATTGAACCCTGTCACGCTCGATACGCTTGGAATGCAAGTTTTTAGTTGCTGTTAATTTTTAATTACAGCACCAGCTATCAGATCCTAGCATGCTATGAACCATCGTCTAGACTAAACAAATATTATATTGAGTTAATATGATCTCAATAGGAGGTCAGGTTATTCAGAAGTTATACGATCACTAACAGACACACCCACGATTATAAAATAATTTCCACTTTCGTAGTTTACGGCATTGTTGAGATGATCTAAATTATAGAATAGAATGTATGGTACATACATTCTATTCAAAATATCTGATAAAGATCATTTAAAATTAAAACTTTAACTATGTAACATCAATAGTTTTAAACATTTCACTCCTAGACCTCTTTTAAGTTAAGAGCATTTGGTGTACGTACTTGAGGTCGTACTTTATAAGCCCTTGCACTTTACTGGTCTTTTTAGTCTTTTAGTTTTGGTAGTTTTAAAGATAGCTCTGCCGTCGATTTTTCTAGTTTAGTTCCTAGTTTTTTTTTTTAACATCTGGCATGAATGAAACGTTTTCTATTATGTCATTACTATGCCTAATAAGTATGTACTAATAAAAATAAATTTCTTTCGGTGACAGTATTACACGCCCAAGAATGCAATACGCCCGCACAAGATGGTGCCGCATACCTGCGGACCGAAATGTAGGCGCACAGACGTGTTGGCGCTCAAAGACCTTCGCACGTACAACCCCTTGGCTAAGCCACTGCTCAGTGGCTGGGAAAGGTATGAACTATAATGGATTCTTCTTTTTAATAATAATTGATAAATATTATTTATCTATTTATTTCAAATATAAAAATAAATTAAGTGTTCTTTAAAGAGTACCATACTGGTTATGTTATTCGTTTGATGGATTTTTTTTCTAATATTTTAATTCATGTTGTTACATTACGATTGTGTCAGTTAGTTCAGATGTGAATAACGTTTTTTCATAAGATTTAATTTAGTAAGCTACCTTTTGTGAACTTTAAAATCCCCTTGAAAACCACCAAAAAAATTACCCCTATATGTCCCAAAAAATATATAGTGTACACATACATACTGTATACTTCGAATTTAGAATTATTCTTCGATTAGTGGGTACAGTTACGTTAAATTTTTGCCTCGGTAAAGACTCCCTTTCGTATAATCTTTGCGCACCACGTAAAAACATTTATTGCTTAAAATGTAACAACACCGCACCATTTCATAGTTTTATAGTTTTCGTGGTTAGAATATTTTCGTTACGTTTTTGGTAACGAAGTGAAACTACCTACGGTGTAACGGTTAACGGAAGGAAAGGACGCGGAAAGATGCGCCATAAGGTATCTAGTGACCCTTACGAATGTGTGCGTGCGTGGTAAAATAGTAGGCGTTTGATATTTATGAATGACATCAGGTAAAATAATGCATTTAGACGCATTCTGAATTTAAAAAATAAAAAGGACCAAAATGTTTGAGATTTTTATCTATATTACTTATTCTGAACCTCCTCTGATTATTGGGGCATAGATTGCAAAATAAGCCTGTATAAAAATGGCGCATGTTTGCGGGCAGGCAAATCGTGCGCTTCAAGGGGCACAAAGAGGTGATGTACCGCGCGCCGTGCGGGCGGCGGCTGCGCTGCATGCCCGAGCTGCACCGCTACCTGCGCGCCGTGCGCTCCGACCTGTCCGTCGACCTGTTCGACTTTGCGCCCGCCACGCACTGCCTCGCCGAGTTCGTGCTCAACAAGTGCCTCGTCGGCAAGAAGGTCCACACACCGAAACGTCACGAACTCACGACACCCCAACAGCACGACATCACGACGCCACACAGTCATGACGTTATAACATCGCGATACCACAATATCACGACGTGATAACATCACGATAACATAACAACATAACACGACGACATAATATCACGACACCACAACATCATGACGACATCACATCACGAAAACATAACATCACGACACCACAACATCATGACGACATAACATCACGATACTAGAACATCACGACGTCATAACATCACGACACCACAACATCACAACCATAGAATACTATAATACATACATAATAGAATGGGGGTGTGGGCGGAGCCTGTTTAGCCACTAAAAAGCCACAAGACGTCAATTCACACGTATAAATGTTAACACGAGATGTGTTTTGACGTTACAATCGTTTCCAAATTTCGCATGCGAATTATTTAGAAAATGCCAAATTGCACGCTATTTACAAATAAATATGTATTAAAATCTGTCTGTCAACACAGCGAATTTGTAGTAGTTTTTAACGGGTTTGTAGTAGTGATTAACTAATAATACGACGTAATTGCTTGTATGTGTGCTCCCGGCGACTCCGAACCTCGGTACAAAATAAGGTTGACAGCTATTCTATTGTGTATTATAGTATTCTATGATCACAATGACATAACATCACGACACCATAACATCACGACTTCATAACATCATCACATTACTACGTTACGACTTAACAACATCATTACAGAGCTGATAGTCTTCATGATTGCAACTGACTACGGCAGCCCACCTGCAACCAACTTCTTAGACGTATTTTCTATTGAGACTAAAATGGAATACCTCGTTACCGTTTCGCTTAGCTTTGCATGGTTAATATTGATTCTTAATATAAGATATCCTTCATGATAAAAGATGTCCATCACAGCATTCACTTACAGTTTTTCACCGTATTTTGATAGTAGTCAAACACTGGCTTATAATTGATAACAATATCAACCTAATTGATTAAAACTACTTTTACGGATTTTATCGCGTTTAATGTTAAATGACTTAATTCCCGACGTTTCGGGTGCTTTCCAGCACACATGGTCATGGGGGAATGAGGTGACTGACATCCCGATGTTAATGTTAACCTGAAGTACCTTCAGCTTTTTAATTATTATTTATGGTCCGATCTACGCAGGATAAACTTACTGTGTGTTGATGTCTTGCAGTGGTATGCTTGGGTTTAGTTTTAATTTTATTAATTACAGGGTCCCAAGCAGGTGATAGTACCCATTCTCCTTCTCTATTCAAATTAGGATGTTTTTAATTTCAATAGCCTCTCCTATCATCCTTGGTAGGAATCGATGTTCTTTCGCGAGGATTTGTGGTCTATCAAACCTGATGTAATCGCTGGGGCCGCCTAGGATATGATCATAAACTGCAGAATTCCCAGAACATTGATATGCTTCACGTCAGCTATATGTTCTTTTACGTGGGTTCTAATAGATCTTTTTGTTTGCCCTATATGTATGAGAGACTACATTCACAATCAAGCTTGTACACTCCTGCATCTTGTAGAGGAATATGACACTTGACAGATGGTAAGAGCTGACTAATCTTCTTCGGCGGCTTGTGGAATGTTCTAATAGAAGCTCGCTTCAAGATGTAGCCAATCTTGTCTGTGACACCTCTGACACACGGTAGTACAGCGGGCACACGCTCGACTGTGGCCGGCTTCACTCGGTCACTGTGACGTAGGCGCGGGACCCGAAGCTTGTTGTCGTGCAGAACCTGCTTGACGTGCTGAAGCTCGGCGGTCAGGTGTTTGCTGTCACAGATCCCTAGTGTTCTCTGTAACAAAGATTTGCCCACGGTAGCTAAATGTGAAGGATGATGGTGGGATTCACCGTTTAAATATCGGTTTGCATGGGTCTTTTTTCCATACACAGTGTGACCTATGGTGTTGTTAGGATTTCGGATGACTAACACATCTAGGAAAGATAAGGAATTATTTGCCTGTAACTCCATAGTAAATTGAATTTGAATTGCATTAGCAATTAAAATTAAATGTGATAAAATCAGTAAAAGTAGTTTTAATCAATGTGTAGTTTTTGCGTAAATATAAGAAATCGGTATCAACCTTTGTTGGTTATGGTCAGTGATGAGATTATCATCGATAACATGTTAAAATTATAACGATTTTTAAACAGGATCTATCGCATGGCAAAGAGAACGTGCCAGTGCCGTGCGTGAACTACTACGACGAGTCTTTGCCGGAGTTTTGCTCGTATAATACTGAGCGCACGCCCACCGCCGGCGTGCCGCTCAACATCGACCCGGAGTTCCTGTGCGGCTGCGACTGCGAGGACGACTGCGAGGTGCCGCACGCACACACGCACGCACGCACACACGCACACGCATGCTTACATACTTACAAACTGATTTTTCAGTTCTGACCACGGGAACATTCTAGAAGAGTAGTTTTCGCTCTTTTTATGTAGTTACTAGCTGTTCTCCGCGACTTCACCCGCATGAAATTTATTACGATTGCATTTCAAGGGATTAATTTTATTTTTACAAGGAACCCTTATTCTTTTTCTGTAATAAAAGTAGCCCAAGTCACTCCTTATAACATTAGCTATCTGCAGTGAAAGTCCCGTTAAAATCGATGCAGCTGTCTTGGAGATTAGCCGGAACAAACTGACAGACAGACAGAAAATTTAACAAAAACTTTTTTTTGTTATTGTTACAAGCTTAGGGTTCGTGACAATAAAAATTGACAATAATAATCACACTTAGTTCTCTTAATTTCGCTCCTAAGTCTTCACTTGTATCGCCAAATCAATACTGCCCCGTTCGCGGCCCTCAATGGCTTTAAATTGGCCTTTTTCACCGAAACATCCAGAAAATTTCAGCAAATACCGGCCCCCGACCGACCAGGTGCAGAAAGTTCGAGTGTGGAGCTTTCTAGAAAGATTAGTTCTTCCATTCGATACTAGATGGCGCTAGTGGGAGAGTTCTAGAAAGATCTTGACGCTCCTATTTCTGCTGCTTGATACCAGATGGCGCTAATAATCAGCCGCCACATACCAACGGCTAATTATAGCGTGCAACATTATTAATACCGTGTATACTTTTATGCGTTTAGTAAAATGCTGTTATTTTGACATTACAGACAGACAATCCATACAGAATTTTGGAATTTTATTTATATAGATACATGTATAGATTATAATAAAAGGTAAATCTTGTAGTTGTCATATAAAAATTGCACTACTCAAGTCGATCTTTTGATGTCGTAAGAGACGACAGCGCAAGAGGCGACAGCTACCTTAATCTGCCTTAGTTAGGCACACTTCTAAGCGGCTTTTCGCCGCTTGCGCCCTCCTTTCTGCCAAGAAAGGTCGCGTTCGTATACGGCTTCGAGATCTCTCGTCAGATCGGTAAGCCAATGCATAAAGGTGGTGTTTAGTGGGTAAAAGTCTCCACATAACCACGCAGCCGGCTGCGTGGTATGCTATGAGCATTCACCGCCTCCCTCCCCCGCTTTCCGGAGGGCTGCTCATATTTGCTTCGGGCGCAAAGAAAAGGCGACAGCACAAGAGGCGAAGGCCAACTCGTGTACTAAGCATGGCAACAGTCGCAAATATGGAGATATGTACCGTAGCTTATATACCCATATTTGTTATAGTTGCCTATGGGAGCAATCTAGTTCAGCTGTGTTGGACTACTGACTGGCATCATTAGTAATGATGTTGATAATGATTATTGGAAAGGTACTGTGCCATAGATCTGCAGAAAAAAACGAGACAATGTTGCCATTAAGGCAGCTAAAATAAACAAACAAACAAATTTTAAATGGTCAATGTTTTACCAGACGCTACACTAAGATGTCAAAATGTCGCCATTTTTTTATAGGATTGGGTGACAAACAAGCACATAGTCCACCTGATGGTTAGTGGTTGGTGTGGCCCATAAACATCTATATCTATACTCGATTGCGAATCAAAATGCAGATACGTTGTCACCCGTGAGAACTAAGAGGGAGTGCCTCGTTTCCACTAAAAAGGATCTCCGGTTCTCTGCACTTACCATACGAAACACAGCAGCATTGAGCTACTTTTTGACTCCGGTATTCTGTGAGAGCGTGATCCTTCCCCGGTCAAGCTGACCCATTCTTGTCACAACTATACTACTAATATAACTGCAGCATGGCTCCACATATAAATACCATGTATTCAGAACATGGTATTTATATGTGGAGCCACCCTAACTACCAAATATATTTTGTCGTGATGATGTTCTTCAGCTTGACCTTTGGAAGCATCAACTGTGCGAATACAGTGTCACAATCTTACGCGCTAATAGCACGCAATGGAGACACTCTTCGTCTTGACCAACTTACTAGGGAGGCATCCTTTTATACCTTTGAGTCCGTTTGGGGGAGGTAACACTCTCTTTCCTATTTCTGCATCCAAGTAGCAGTATGTACACTGCTGTGTTCCAGTCTGAGTGGGTCCGGTATACAGAGCCAGTATAATAAAGCATTTCATTTTAGTCGTCAGAGGTGACCACGGGTTCGTAGCCTTCTTTGTTTGAAGATGGTGGCATTGGACTGCACTAACTTTGTACCATCGGGTGGACAGTAAGCTCATTTGTCACTGCAGTTTAATAAAAAACCTAGTCAGAATTTCAAATAAAATAAAATTGTTAAATATAACTAGATAACCCTTTAACAGGACAAAACAAAATGTGCTTGTTGGAAAATGACGCTAGAGGGCGCACGAACAATTGGTTTAGACGGGGATGTTGGCTATGTGTACAGAAGACTGCCTGAGCCGCTGCCTTCCGGGATTTACGAATGCAACTCCAGGTATTTTATTAATATTCAGTTAGTATTAATAAATAGCGAATCGAAAACTCACATCTAAAAGCGAAAGCTGCTAAATTAGTAAAGGAACTTATAGCTATGTATTTTATGTTCTACACAACGGGTTGCCCTACTATATGATTTGGAGGCAGCACCAAACATTTGTATATTGGTGGTTAAAGATTAATTACTGCATCGTTGGTCTAGTGGTTGTATTGGCGTGACTGCTGATCATGAGGTTCTGGGTTCAAATCCCGGGTCGGGCGAAAAAATTCAATTATTGAGTTTTTTACGTCAAGAAATTCTCAATAGCTGCCTGGAGTCAGGAAGTTGGCGGTATATCACCCCCGTGCTTCGGAAGGCATGTAAAGCCGTTGGTCCTGTGCCTGATCCTCCGGTCGTGTTGGTTTACCGTCCCATCGGAATATGAGTGAGGGAATAGAGAGTGCACCTGTGCTTGCGCATACACTTGGGCACTATAATCCTATCCTGCGCCGATGGCTAGCCTCCGTTGAGGCTGGCCGCCGTGACCGAAATTAGGTCTGGAGAACAAAAGTAAAAAGTAAAGTTACAGCCTATATACGTTCCACTGCTGGGCTAAGGCCTCCCCTCATTTCTGAGAGGGTTTAGGGCAAGGAGGTGTCCGCCGCGCTGCCCAAATGCGTGTTGACGAACTTCACATGTCTTCGAAATATTTTTTTTCTTATTCCTCAGACATGCAGGTTTCCTCACGATGTTTTCCTTCACCGCCGAGCACGTGGTAAATCAGCACTTAAAATTGCAATTAACAATTTCATTGGTGCCGGCGGGGATCGAACCCGGGTTACTCGCGTTCTGTTATATTTACAGCGAGCGTTAACCACTGAGCTACCACGGCTCTTCACGGTCACGGTCTTCCGGCTCACGGTCTGGAGAACATTAAAGATTAATTAAATAAAATTCAAATATTTAATAGAAATATCTCTAGATAGATAAATAAGTACTATTCATTTTAGTCCTGCGTCGGGATTACGGAGGCTTCCGTAATCCCATCGTAGTCATGTCAAATCAATTCACTACACCGTGTATTTCCGTGGGTGTCGTATTAGGAGCGACAGATGGAATTTCAGGAGATCAATCAAACAGGAAGCGACAGCATCTTCGCGATAACAATTCAAATAATAAAAAACTGCGGATGCTAACCCGTCTGCCACCTTCGGCAACTACGACAAATATCCTCTTTATGGAGCAATCTATTAGTCTCTATATCTATATAATTGATACGCTATAGTGACGATGACGATGAAAATAAAAAGTAATAAATATAAAAATTATGAGCCATAAATTTTGTTTAGTTGACCATTAACTAAATAGGCATATAAAAAGAGAAACTTTGTGGTTGCAGATGTAAATGTAAAAATACATGTTTGAATCGAGTGGCGCAACACCCTCTACAGCTGAAATTACAAGTGAGTTTAATCTAGTTCATATATGCTACTCATAGAATACTATAATACATACATAATAGAACGGGGGTGTGGGCGGAGCCCGTGTAGCCACTAAAATGACACCAACACGTCAATTCACACGTATAAATGTCAACACGAGATGTGTTTTGACGTTACAATCGTTTCCAAATTTCGCATGCAAATTATTTAGAAAATGCCAAATTGCACCCTATTTACAAATAAACATGTTTTAAAATTTAAACGATTTTTTTTTAATAACAATCTTGAACATTAATCAAAAGTCTAAAATGTGTAAATTTACTCAGTCTGTCAACACAGCGAGTCGGGTTTGGCGACGCCAATCCTCGTACAAAATAAAGTTGACTGCCATTCTATTGTGTATTATAGTATTCTATGATGCTACTTAATGCAATATTTTATTTGGTACAAATTATAAAAAGTTTATATGATGAAAGGTGGAAGAAGAATATTTTTTCTTAATATCTTACGGCTAAGAGCCGGATTCTACGAGTACCATATACAATTAGGTTATTAATAGGTAAATACATAGAGAAGAGAGAAGGTAAAAAGGTAAGAACATAGAGAATAATTTGATTTTTTTGTACGTTTATAGGTTTTCAAAACTCTCAACCGCGGATGGGGCATACGAGCACTCAATGACGTACCAAAAGGGGCGTTCCTGTGTGTTTATGCAGGAAATTTACTGACTGATGCTACTGCAAACTTAGTAAGTAAAATTATGACTGAATAAACTGCAGGATGTAGGTATGGAGAAAAAAAATTGCGTCAGGGGGGGGCCGAGGGGGGGTATATAGGGTTTCTTCTTAAACTGATTATATATAAATGTGAATGATTCTTGTCTTACCGTTGCCGTGTAGTGGCGGTGTAAGAATATCCACTACCCCATATTATCAAGTGGATGTCGTAGACAGATGGAAACAAATCGGAGATGGGCAGCAGCTTCTTCCTAATAACTTGCCAAGCGTGGCAACTATGGCAAATGTCTCCCCATGAGAGTATGAGACAATCTATGGGGGAGGCTTATGTTCTGTAGTGAATTTTAATAGGATATAATGGTTTCTTATCTTGTCCTGTATCTTTCAACTTTAATTCGATTACAATGAAAATTCAGTGAATAGTGTGCGCGTCTGCGAAGGTTCCTATAATATTTTTTTTGTTTTTGTTTTTTTAATTTTTTTTTTGCTGATGTTCATGAATGTTTCCAATAAAAATACATTTTAACTAGATATGCCGCGAATTCTCGCTATTATTCAGTATTCGGCATTACTCAACGTTTTTTTGTTATTCTTCGACTACCGAATAATAGCTAGTATAATTCGGCATTCAATTCAAACAATAGTTGCCGAAAATAAACTTTTTATGAACAAAAAAAAACTATAGACTTAAAATTGATGTGTGGATTTGAAATAAACATGATATTGTCTCCTTATACGAAGCCTAATACATGAGCTTTTGCGGATTTCGTATGTATAATACGCCATTTTTTTGCAGGATGGTCTAAATGAAGGCGACGAGTACCTCGCCGAACTTGATTACATTGAAGTCGTGGAGCAGATGAAGGAGGGCTTTGAAGAAGACATTCCGGAGTTTCTCAAAGAACCCGAAAGAGTAAATACCTACATTTTTTCGAAATGCTTAAAGTAAATCAAAAATAACGCAAGATTGTTTGGTGAACGGTTGCTTAACTAGAATTTTGTAAAGTTTTATGAAGGGAAATGTTATATAAAATCATCAATACAAACGAATTATAATGAAATGGCGTTAGAGAATCAATTATCCCATAATTATCATCTCGTGGGTGTCTTAAAAGACAACATATGACAACTTAAATTGAAAATAAAAAAAACCCCGAAACGAAAAAACTAATGATCTTAAACGGCTAAACCGATTTTGATAAAACATGTCTAAGAACCAGCGCTAGAAAACCTGCTTTTAAATAAAAAAAACCGCACCCAAATCGGTTCACCCGTTTAAGAGCTACGGTGCCACAGACAGACACACAGACAGACAGACAGATACACACACATAGTAGTTAAACTTATAACACAGCTCTTTTTCGTTGGGGCTTAAAAATAAAACAGAAAATTGACAGCAGCATCTTCCTTTACAATTTAAAATAATAAAAAACTACCATTGAAAACTATGGTAAATCTCACCTACCCTCGATGAGCTAGTGTATGGGGTAGACCTATGTTCAGCACTGGACCATTGATAGGCTAAAATTAATAAATGGATTCAGTTACTAAGCGGGTATTTTTTATTATAGAGAACTTCTGCTATAGAATCTGTTGAAGAAGAAGAAACATCTTCTGAGGAAGAAGAGGTAAGGACTTCAAAAGATGAGAGAGATGACGACTTCCGGCCTGGCTACATCGAAATGGACTCTATGGAATTCAGGTGATGAGTTATTATTTACTTTATTATAGTTATTATTAAATGTCGTTAACCTCGAAATTAGTGATATTTTGAATATATTTGTATATTAATTTATATTGTTGTTTTTTTGACAGTAAACGCTTGCGTACACGAGAAAGACGCAAGAAGGAGCGGTACAACAATTTCGAAAATAAAGACAAAGAAAAAGATAAGCAAAAAGAAAAAAGAAAAGATACAGAAAAGGAAGAAGGGGAAAAAGACAACGGCGATGAAGACTGCATAACTATAAGCGATGATGAAGAGGGTGAGTCTCTGGATATTTATTTCTTAATTATCGAATCGTATAAGTGCACGGCTGTAAAGTCCGCGCACACAAAATGTTGGCCGGGCTGAGTTGGCTCTTCTGGACATTCCCACATGTACGAATTCTGGTTCACTCATAAGGCGTAAATTACACGCTCATGCAAGCGTCAATCAATTCCATCAATCATGATTGATAAAAACGGATGGTGACTGATTGGCGTACATTACGCGCTCATGCAGGCGTCAATCACTGCATTACACGGTAGAATAGTTGTCAATCAGAACCGTGATTGTTGTAAAACTGATAGTAACAACTGTAATGTATGCCTAAGATTGCTTAGGGAAACAGTTTGTTTTGTCTATATCGATTATAGAATAATGTAAATCGTTTAAAAATTATGTTTATTATGAAAATTTCTTTATGTATTTCAAATAAACAGTAGTATCGTTTTAAAAATTACGATAAAAGTTTGAATATACATATAGTAAATAGTAAATATGGCAAGATAATTTTAGTAACCCCAAAATATCATCATGTTACACACCAATAGAAAAAAGAGCAATGCATAAGAAATATAAAATAAAATCTAATCTTAACCGATAATAACGATACTAGACACTATAAATAACACACGTCACCTTTTTGTTCTCAAAAACTATATCTGGGTAGTCATTCGCGACTATCTGTATCAGTCTGGCCAACATAGACATATAAAGACTAAATGGGCCACTTCCGTCCCAATAAAGATTTGTCTTAAGCGTCAGACCTGGCGGACGGATGAGGACCGCAGTGCCAGACATTTCGCCCCTATAACGCTACTTCCCGTTGCCGGTCTAGATATTTTAATTCTGGTGTAAACGAGATGGTCATTCCGTTCTCTATCGTTCATTATTTATGCTTTGTAGTTACTTTCCTGGAGGTATAAGGGATGATACATATACGTGGTAGAGCTATACTACAGCTACGAGGGCGGCACTAAAAATTTCGGGAATCAAGGAAGTGACACAACATTACTATTTAAAAATGTATTTATTGCTTTTCGAAGTATTCTCCGCGAAATTTGACACATTTTTCCCATACGATGTAACCAATAATTGAGCAACCATTCCGTTCGGAAGATGGAGTCTCCAAAATGGCCGTTTTGTAGGCGTCCACAGCTTCTTCAGGTGATGAAAATCTCTGTCCACGCAATTTATTCTTTATTTTAGGGAAAGTATAGAAATCATTAGGGCTTAGGTCGGGGCTGTACGGCGGATGGTCTAATAATTCTATGTTTTCTTGCTCTAAAAACTCTTTTGTTCTGTGTGCGGTGTGAGAACTCGCATTGTCGTTATGGAGGATGGTGCGGCGGTTGCAATTCTCTTTACGGAGTTCAGAAACGACCTGTGGCAAACAAATGCTAGCATACCATTCTGCATTAACCGTTCTTTGTCCCTCAAGAGAAATAGTTGTAACATGGCCGGTTTTGGTGACAAACGTGGCCACCATTTTTTTTGCAACACTCCGTGAACGAACAATTTTTGTTGGCTTTAACTCATTTTCGAACACCCAAAGTCGTGACTGGTTTTTTGTTTCGGGTTTGTACGCATATATCCAGGATTCGTCACCTGATACGATGTTGTATACAGCATTTGAGGATCCTGCGTGGAATCTTTCGAGAGTTCTGACGCACGAAGTAACGCGAGCCGCTTTTTGCTCTTCACAGAGCGAATGCGGTGTCCATCGGGAAAACAACTTTTTTACACCTAGTTGTTCATGCAAGATTATTTGTATTTGACTTATGCCAATGTCTAAAGTTTACCTGAATTTCGCGGTATGTCACATGTCGATCTTCCTCAATCAGCTTACGCACAGCATCAACGTTGTCTTGGGTGACTGCAGTTTTTGGACGACCTTGACGGGGATCATCACTGAGCTTGACACGTCCACGTTGAAATTCAGCGAACCAGCGATATATTGTGGTTTTGGATGGGGCATGAAGCCCCAAATGCAGAAATCATCCGGTCAACACACTGTTTTTGTGTTAAACCACTTCGAAAGTCATAATAAATCATCGCTCTTGAATTTTCTCGAGTCAATTCCATTTTCTCAACAACTAAACAAGTTTAAAAACCTTGTGACAAGACCGAGAATCTTTTTTTTAAAATAAATAAATGGTATTCGATTTTTAAAACCAAGGAGTTTTCAATTAAAAAGATTTTAATATGACAGGAACAGTGGAAATATTCCATTCCCGATACTTTTAGTGCAGACTATGTATATTATGGTTGTAGCGTGAACGTCTCATGGGACCCATGACGAGCGTGGTCGCGCTCTCACAGAATACCACCGTAAAATGGTATTAATGGCGTAGATAGTGCCGGAGTGTTTCTTATGGCGAGTGTAGAGAGCCGGAGACCCGTTTTACTGGAAACGAGGCATTTTATTTTAGTTCTCAGAGGTGACTGAATTGAGGATAAAATAAATGTAGATGTCTATGAGCCACAGCATCCACTTACTATCGGGTGGACTGTGTGCTCGCTCGATATCACCATGTTCGGTTATGGCAGATACCATGCTCGCTCGATATCACAGTGGTTACGGCAATACCAGTTAGCATGATTCCTGAGCCGGAGACGGGCAACAGCATCAAAGATGCATAACTCTGGTAATTCAATCGTCAATGTGTCTAGGTGTGATGATAAAGGCAAATCCTCTCTGCAGGAAGAGAGGAATTTTCAACGTTCAATCTAATGAAAAAGAAGAAAGAAAAAGTATGAACTTTATGCTAACCACCTGTCTACCTAGTGTGAAGAGAATGTAAAATTTTTCTAAGTAATTCATGGGAACTGGCGCAGTTGTGGAAAGGACTATCACGTTCCTTTTAAGAATTCATTCATTTGTTCGTTCATTACCGTCTATCAGAAGTCCACTGCTGAACAAAGGCCTCCGCCATAAATTACTTCTTAGGAGATATTTGCCATAGTTGACGCGCTTGGCAGTTTAGTTGCGTTTGACACCGCAGTTTTCATTATTGTTTTTGAGTTTTTGTCAGAATGCTGTCAAACTGTGAATTCAGTTTCAGTCTGTTTCACTTCACTCTACTACGCGACCATTATTATACAAAATACTTATATATTGTACATAACAAAAAAGTTTTTTATTGCACATTGCACACGTCTTTACTATGTTTGTTTTGTTTTATATAGTAAGGGAGCCGTCGCGATTTACGGCGCAAGCGGGGATGGATTCAAATCAATTAGTATCAAAATACAGGTAAGTTTTTGGAACTAAATGATTCGTGATTTCGATATATTATGTAGTTTCATGGTACCCAGGTGCAGTGGCGAAGTTAGGGCTCCAAACTAGGGCAAGCCCAAGATATGGTTTTGTTGTTTTTAGCAGTTTTATAAAAATAAACCAATCTTGATCTGTCTCCACTCTTCAGTTTCATATTCAGTGCTGTCAAGGACGTGTTTAACAAAGCACACAGAAGGCATACTATTGCTAAATAGATTGTATTACATATGTAATTGCATACCTTCGGTGCTTTGAAAAGAGCTGTTTGGGTTTGCTTGAGCGAAAGAAAAAGATATTTACATACAATACAATACATGAACAAAAGAAAAGCATGAACAAAGTATAAACAAACTATGTACAAAATTAAAAAAGAGACCCCTGGTAGATGTGAAACATCGAAATAAATAATTTTTTGTTTAAGTTATAAGCTTAGAAGAATAATATAAATATTACATTATTAAATTAGCTGATAGCGTGTTGTTTGTAAGCCCAGGTGGATGTATAAAACCAGTCATATTGATTTAACAGTGTTAAATATCTCTATATAAAAACCAATTGCTGTCCGTTAGTCTCGTGTGTGCGTGTGTGTGTGCGTGTGCGTGTGCGTGTGCGTGCGCGTGTGCGTGCGCGTGCGTGCGTGTGCGTGCGCGTGCGTGCGTGTGTGCGCGCGCGTGTGTGTGTGTGTGTGTATTTGAGTGGGTCCTTAGCTGGCTCAAATTCACAAGTGCACCTGGTAGTTGGCGCTGTTGTCAAGATTTAGAAACCACACGTGAAAAGCCGGGACGGATAGCTAGTTTGTAATAAAAAATCATGTACATATAAACATAGACTGTACTATAGATTAACAGTAGTCACAAAGGGAATAAAAGTTAAAAAACTTTTTACAACAAAAAAATACACAGAAATAAAAATAAAAATACAAATTTATATGAAGACCTAATGTATATAAAGCTTTTCTTGATTTTAAAGTCGAAATCAACTCCACTTAATATTAGATCGTAACGATGGTTTTCTGGGAGTGATTTATAAAAAAAATCATCACACGGAGGTAGCAAATACCTCCGTGTGATGATTTTTTTTATAAATTTTTGCTATTAACATAAACCATTAAAAATAAAATACATATTACTATATAACCTAGGACGATAAAAATAGTAATAAGATATTTATGGTAAGAATATTAAGAGGATATGAGTGCGCCCGTTAAGTTCATACAGACGTATTACTTTGTTTTCTCCATAGTTTTATAGTTCCATATCGTTACTTTACTTTAAATCCGTTCTGTAAACAAAACAAATTGTAATTGCTAATATATAATATGTAATTTGTCGACTGGGATTTTCTATATTAATCCGCTGACCGTAAGAGTAAGACCGCACTAGGTGGAACTACACCGCAGCGGAACTGAGCGACACGATCAAAATATTCTCATGGGTGACAACGTATCTGCATTTTGATTTTTATTTGAGGATAAATGTAGATGTCTATGGGCCACAGCATCCATTTTCCATCAGGTAGTCTGTGTGCTCGTTTGTCATCCTATTCTATAAAAAAACATCACAGTTTTATGAGGGGCAGCGCAATGGCTGCGTTTGGCAGAAAAAAGCGCTAGCAAGTGCTTGTAAGCAAAATGGCGAAACTAAACTGTTTTCGGCCAGGACACGTTTGTTCTAACTCTAACTCTCAGTAGCGCTGACGCATTCCGCCATTTTGCTTATTTAATTTGTTTGTTTTGAAGTAGAGTTTATAAGTTGTTTTGTGCAATATTAGTTTTAAGTAATATAATGACTTGAATAAACATATTATACATGTTATTAAAAATTCATGATTGGTATGTTTTTAATATGAATACTTTACAAACATATATTTAAATTAGGTAAGGTTCCCCGGTTAAAACTAACTTCGTGTCCTAGAGGAAAATAGCTACTTACGATTTGACAGCGCTTACCGTTTACGATCGCCATTTTGCTTACAAGCGCTTGCTAGCGCTTTTTTCTGTCAAACGCAGCCAATGCTTGTTGTTTGCCTAAACATTTGTCAATGGCGTCTTGGCTTTACGACGTTGTAACGGCGTTACTTTGCGACACTTGTGTGGCCGGTTTGCACTTAACGTATTGAAATTGTAGCGGTACGACACGCAGCGCACCGGCAACACCCGCGTGGCGTTATTCTAAGCTGCGAGCTAAGAGAAAACATATATTTGCAAAGATTTTATTTATAATACTAGACGGTCTTTTCGGCCTTAATAAATTGCTCATTAAGTTGAGATCAATTCTCTGTAACTCCTTTAGTCGACCGCGTGCGGACGAAGATACCAGTTCTTTGTTTTGTAAACCGTGAACGTTGTTTTCGACAATTTAACTCTGAATTTATTTACTGTGAATATTCTGCGTGCCCGCACGCGCCCGCGCCCGTGCACGTGACTGCGGGCCGGTCCACAACTGTGACACAGTTTTTGTTCTGAATTGTCGGTCTAATAGTACCTGTACATAGAATTCTTTGTTATCATGTTGTGACGGAAGCTAAAAGTTATTACGAAACTACTGCTTCTGTAACTCTTAATACTGGATAATTACTCTTTTCTTCAAAAATTTTAAACATGGTTGCAGGTCAGTACGTTCCTACTTCGGCAAGGACGAGGCGTGCTACATCATGGACGCTAAGGTTCAAGGCAACATTGGTCGATATCTAAATGTAAGTAGCTTGGTTTTTGTTATCATTCTGTTATTTTATAGTTAACGATATTTCAATCTGCAATTGTAACGCAGGAAATTTGTAATCTATGTATAATATGTAATAATAATACTGTCGTATTGCGTCATGTGACGAAAAGATGTCCGTAGTTATAACGAACCAATAGTAAGCAAGGGTTACATCGACCCTCGAAATATACAAACATCAAATCAAAGTAACATTGCTGTAACAGTTTTTTAGAACAAAATTAAATAAGCAAACAAATTTGACTGTTTATCAAACTGGCCCAACCAAACAGGATACCTGCGGAATATTTTGTTTTGTTTCACAAGTAAGTTCTAACCACCGTAGGCATCTTCTTTGTTGTTTTATTTACAGACAACAGTACGTACGAGTACGTGTACTAATGTTTATCGCATTGTCCCACAGCACTCGTGCTGTCCCAACGTGTTCGTTCAGAACGTGTTTGTGGACACGCACGACCCGCGGTTCCCGTGGGTGGCGTTCTTCGCACTCTCCCACATCCGCGCCGGTACAGAGCTCACCTGGAACTACAACTATGACGTGGGTTCCGTGCCTGGGAAAATTCTGTATTGTTATTGCGGGGCGGTCAACTGCAGGGGAAGACTACTTTAAAAATTTTCCAAGACTTATCGAATATGCCAAATACAAAGCAAATTTTATATATTGGACCGTAACCGTGATTTTGTTCAGAATAAAGCGTTTTTAGGTACTTACACAAACCTACCTTCAACAATACATATGTACGGTAATGGTCTTCACTATGTACACTTTGGAACGCCTGTGATCCTTAAGGTCGTGGTCATAATATACAAAACATTAAGGACTATAGAAATGTTAATGTTTGTGATTGCAACTCAAAACTGATCGGAATTTAAACTTAAAGTCATAGGTACTATTAAATACTACATTAAAGGTTCTATTATGTAATTATATCTCGTTTGAACACAAAATAACTGACTTTTCAGGCCTTTTTACGGTATAAGTGCTAAGGTACAATTCAAAACGCATATTCGCTATAGGAACACTTTGTGAAAATCTTGAACGGGTTTTAGTACCTACAATAAATTCGTCTAAAATTGGAATTGAGTTGTCCTCGTGAGTTACTGGGATCCTAGGTTTAGGATAACTGTCAACTTTTATTCAATAGAAGAATAAAAAGAAAAGAAAAGTAGTAGAATGTTGCTGGTTGGATCATGCTTCTACGACGAGTCGCCTCGTTATGTTGCGTAGAGATTCCAGTCTATACAAAATAAAAAACCAATGAAGTTAACTTCGCATAATAACTATGATGGACAATATCCCCTATAATAACAATGGTGTTATGTTGTTAGTTACTACAAGCGTGTTGGTAAATAACACTATAAAGTATAGCACAACATAAGGCCACGGTCACGGTATATACTGTTTCTTAGACTACAGTAATTTACGTTGTGTAGACGTACTTTTAGGTGTTCCATTCTATTTAAATTAATCCACTACACTAGCAGAATTATTATCATTAAAAAGTTTGGATTTATATAAGTTTTGTATTCATTCGTAGTAAAGGGGAAATACTGTCTTTTTTAATCTCAAGGACGTGTATACATTTTAATTCAAACTATTAACTAAAATGAAATTTTATAAAACCCCTTTATGTGAATGGTTAGTCAAACACTTTAGTCTAGTAGTTTAGTTTAGTAACTTAAATATTGTAAATTAATTTAATGACGACTGAATTTCATATGCAAAATATGTAAAAAGTTAGCTGAAATATTTCTAAATAATTTTTATAATAAATTAATATCAAAAAGCCATTTTTCAAACATTGACAACATTCACGTGAACAACTCGTATTACACTCACTCACTTTCAGCTTATTTGGAGTGCTTAAGAAGGCGTTCATTAATTAGTCGTGATGGTAAACCCTCACGACTAATTAATGATCGAAGGGGAAATGGTGGGAGGAGCCGAACTTCACCCAATCTCACGTGGGAGAGAGGTAAGGTCTCGACAAATATCACGAAGAAAATGAGTTTAAGTTAAGTAAAATATGGCTAAATGCTACACAATAATACACAATATATACACAAATTATATAAATATAACTAAGCAAATATTTTTTTTACCATATCTCGTAATATCTCAGCAGAAGGAGGGGGAGGGTAGAAAAATTGCCAAAATCGCCTCACCTAAAACAGACTCCCACTAATGAGAATGTTAGTAATGTTACTAGTATTGTATTAGATTACAAAAAATAAGGTAAACCAGGAATAAATTAAAAGATTGTACTAAATCGTCACTTAGAAAATGAATGACTAAGTAATGTTGTGTCTGAACTTTTGATGTAATGTTACGATCTCAACATTGAATATCACTCGAATTCATAATGTATGTCTACACTGCCTACTGAAACCATATATCTGATAAAATATGGTTTTATTTTCAATTTGTTAGTGTGTTAATATAATAAGATCTAATTTGTATATAATGTTCGATAAGATGAAAAAACAAATAAATAAAAGTAAATTTAAAATATTGTTTTATTTAAAATATTCTTTATTCCTAGGTTACCGTTACAGTTACAGCCTAGTTCACTGCTGAACACAGAACTCCGTTTGCCATGGTTGCCACACGCATGGCAGGCGAGTTTTCAGTTTTTCTTTATTTTTAGTCGTTATTAGGAAGCCTATCTCCTGATTTGTTTTCCTCTCGCCTCTTGCGAGACCCAAAGGATGATATGGACTAGTGGATATTCTTACAACGCCGCTACACGATCATCTTGTTATAATTAAACCGTGCTGTGTGTTGGACGAGGCGTAAGGGAATCCAACACCTAATATCGTTACTTGAGTGCCGCAAGAGGTGGACCATGGGAAATGACAAAAAGATCTCATGGCTTACGGTAGCTGGTAGATGATGTTATAACTTCTTTTTTCTTTATTTCATAATGAACTTGTACTGTTGTACTTTGGTCATGTGTTTAAGTGTTACGAAATTATCTTTTAAATTAATTCGTCCAAAAAATTACCTACGTTATATTGATTCAACGTATGGTGGAGATTTGGACGAGAACTTAAGCCAGCAGACAGCCAATGACAGTATCTTAAGTAAGGCATCTAAGCGCACAAAAAACTTGAGGTTTACAACATCGAAGCACTTGTTCCAACGTTTTCACTTATAGTTCTCGTGCACTTCTTCTTTACATCTTATAAAAAAACACAAGCGTGTGCGTTTGCGTGTGTGTGTGTGTGTTGTGTGGGCGCGTGCGCGCGGTTGGTGTGTGTGTGTGTGTGTGCGTGTGCGTGTGCGTGTGCGTGTGCGTGTGCGTGTGCGTGTGTGTGTGTGTGTGTGTGTGTGTGTGTGTAAATGTGTGTGTCAAAAATACATACATTTACCAAAACAAATGACACACATTTACCAATCAAAATCCACTTCAAATCATTATTTAAACTAAACAACAGGAACATCAAATTGCCGGTGGTCAAGTTAGTGTCAAAACTCTTGGTATTACTTCATTTACGACAAATGCAAAATACTCTGACCAGCGACAAAGATGCGAAACTTCTGGTATTGCTATTGCCAATCCGCCTGGCAAGCGTGCCAGTTAAGGCAAAGCTCACACATAAGAGAGAGGTCACACGATCAGTATTTCATCAGTTCAGTCCATCAGTCTGATCAAACTATGACTGATGCCAGAATGAGGGGAACATGTTACACTATCACTTTCCCATCAGTCTTTCATCAATTCATAACGGATAGACGAACGGATAGGTCATTTTGACCAGACTGACGAACTAAATTGAAGAAATATTGAGCGCGTACTCTAAAGGGAGAGACCACTGTTTACCGGTAAACTTTTATAGATTGATAAAGAAGGCGAGCGAAATTCGTCATAGTAATAAAAGAAAAAGGTGGCCAATTTCCCATTTAAGTTTGTCTGCACGTGGATCATCCTGAAAATTAATGAGAGAAGCTTAAACTCTGAAAAAAAAAAACACTACGTACGAGTATATCTATTTGGGGCGTCCTTCGATCTAGAAACCTCCCCAATAATATCTTGAATTTTATTATGCAAAGATTTAATAAGGAATGGATTAACAACGTGTGACAAAAGAAAAAGAAGTACGTTTTAAGAGATACCTAAAACTTTTTTTGGGAGTATTCGTGGCTCATTCGACTCTAAATCAAGCTACCACCCCCTCGAAAACTTTGTAGGTATTTTTCGCCAAACGTCAATCTTACCTGCTCCCGGTGCAGCCTGCTGCTTGGCGGACGAAATTCTAGGGACTAAGTGATCGACAGAATTGAATCCAATAAAGCTGAACCCAGATTTCATTCTTAGATGTACCCTCAGAGTATGGAATATGTGTACATCTTAAAAGTAATAACGCTTAGAAAAGCCTGTGCTCAGCAGTGGAATCGTTGTCAAAAAAGACAAAATATTCGATGGAGTAAACCTAGGACTTTTTCACTAAATATTTTTTCCTACATCCTTCAATAATGCATTGGTCCCCGTGTGACGTAAATATATATATATGTATTATTGTGTTTTGTGTTACCAACGATACGACGATTTATAAACACACGATCGTCCTCGGACGTGTATCTTCTTTAATTCCTGTAACAAACACTATTAATCACCAATTCTTTCGCGTTATTGACAAGACTAGGTAGACTGTCCCTATCTTTGGACATTTACATACGCAGGGCGATTACTTTTGATTTCATGCATACGAACACTAGCTAATGCGTCTTTTTGACCAGCCATCATTTCATATAACAATGTGGACCGAAAAACTGGCTTTCTAGCTCACTGAATTAGGTGTCGTTATCGATGTCGACACCTAATTCAGTGAGTGAGAGCGTCCCTTAGACCAGTGGTCACCTCATATGTCAACATAGAACGGACAACTGGCTCTTTCCACTAAGCACACACACACACACATCTCTTTGTACAGCTTACGCGGCACTATTAGTATCTATAGAATATACAGGTGTGTCGAAACTCGACTTCAACCCGGAACCGGGTGAAAAGGCAAGTCATGCTGGTTGTCAGAAAAATTAAAAAAAAATATCTAAGTTGCATGTTTTCAAAATTATAGGCATCTAAAAAAATGGAAAAATTTCTCTGTGATAGTCTTTTCACTCCTGTTGCTACAAATCTTTACTTTTTCCAACTGTTTTTTTTTTGTTATGAAACCCTGAATAATGCTTCTCTAACTGGTATTAAAATTTAAGTAACTGGTATCAAAATGAAAGTGATGCAATTACTTCATATATGCAAACTAGCTTGCCAGACAGACGTTGTTCTGCCTTTTTCGACGGCCCTTTGTCCTAATGTCCTAATTAAAAATCCCTAAATTCGCAAAAAAAAATTGTGGATCACTCATGGGCAAAAAAACTATCCCATCTCTCAAGTTGGATTAAACGGCACACGGTGTGCAAATTTGATTAAAATAGGTTAAGCAATTTAGGAGTCCATCGCGCATAAACAACGTGACACGTAATTTATACATATTAAGACTAGCTTTTTACCCGCGGCATCGCTCGCGTGGGCTTCAATTTAGCAACATTAACAAATGTTGTTCCGTTTTAAATTTAACAAAGTTCGATCACTATCAGAGTCACCTCTG